TAATGATTCAAGTGTTTTGTAGAACTTTTTTGCAGAGTAGAGTGCAAGGCTGGTATTTGTCAGAAGTCTCTCTAGCATGCAGTCCCTAGGAAGATCACTATAGATGATGTTTGTGATCTCTAGATTCCTTTACCTCAGTGAGATGTCTGTTGCCAAGCCCTTGTTTTCTGCCTCTGGAGGAGTTTAGGTCTTAGGTCTCAGGTCTCATTTACGCTCTGTACATGGCTGTTGTAAGTCACACCAGAATGACAGCTTCATACCCCCAAACTGGTATATCTTAAATTTTACGACTTTGAATTTCCATCCATGTTCAAACTGTACTACATCCAGATGAAGAATTTACAGGGAGAAGGGAACTTTGAAAAACAATTTTTAATATTATTAATAAGCAGATATTTGAACCTCTGGAATACTTTGACCATGTGCTTTGGTTGCGAATTGGATGTCTGATGGTTTTGTCAGTGTTCTGTTGCACAGTCTGGCAGAGATTAGCCTCAAACTGCAACTCTTCCTGCAACACTGCTATTCAGTGCTCACCAGCAGCAATGCGCCTTGAGAAGCAGGACTGGCCAGCCTGAGAGACTATTGTGCTAACTCAGCTGTACATTGCTAGGACTAGCAAGTTTGTACAGAGCAGCGTAGAACTATCCCCCTGTCCCTGTCTTTTTGTTTAGGAAGTTTGAGTACCTGCAGCATCTAATTAGAGTGTAGTGGAGGAATGTCTTTACTATACTGACCATGTTCTTCAGAAGATTTACAACGTATGCTATTTCTCTGTTATTCTGTCTGCATCAGAACTTCCACCAATAGCAACAGAAATTGCTTGATTATATGAGACACTAGGTAGTTGTGAGATCACATTATTCTTGAGCAACCTGATAGATTTTCAAAGTTAGCCACAGAATTACAATTGATAATTTTTTATCTCTCAATGGAGTTATGGAAAAGTAAACATAAAATTCTAGAAAAAAGTACAGAATATTGGATTTATATTTTCTGAGGATGTCAAAACTTATGAAAAGAACTTTGCAGTGTCCCTGTGAGAGATGTGTTGTATACAAGTGCTGTCCTTGTATAGTTGAGGAAGTGAAACAAAGAGGGCATGTGAATGATGTAATATTTCTCAGAATGCCTGAAGCAGATCCAGGAATAGAATCTAGTTGTCTGATTTCCGTAAAGGTGCTTTAGTCCTGGGACCCATCATTTCTTCTTTGCATGGTCATTTATTACATTTCTGTCAGAAAGGCTGTTTCCATGTGAAATGGAATGTTACTTTTTCAGCCATGGTGCCAGAATATAGAACAGTTTGACTGAGGTTTTGTAAGCATGTTTTTTTATGAAGGTAACAAAGTCAACTTTGCCCTGCAACTTTTTACAGAATGTTCTGGCTGTGAAAGTAGCTTTGTAAACGCCAGGTTGTGTTCAAGTCATGCAGAAGTTCAAGGCAATTTAGTCAGTACTGGAAATGAAGGATCAACCTCAAACAGAATGTTTATCTCTGCAAAAGAGCATTGTTAGCTCTACTGTGTTATGAGAGTATTTTCATCTGCATTTCACTGCAAGAACAAAATTTGACATACATTTGACAGGATTTCGACTGGCAAAAAGTAACGTGTTACCAAGTCAATACCACTGAGAGACCAATGTGATATCTGATCTGACAGCAAGATGAATTGTTCAACCCTCAAAACTACAAATGGAGATGAAACTAAATTTGTAGTTGTATTATATGTCTTCTAGAACATCATATGCAGTTGATCTGCTCTCTGCTATTGACACTCTTGCCTTAATTTCCAGCCCAGAATAACATGATTTTTCCCCCCCCAAGAACACCATTAAATTAGTCAGAAACAGAAGTATTATTAAGCATGTTATTACTTTGGCAGTGTTCTGTGTTTAAAATTATTTTTGAGACCTTTCAGTATCAGAAATACGCCATTACCTGTATGTGCTGCACAGTACCAAAAAACTCATAATTTGTGAGTCTAGTAGACAGAGACATTTTGTATTCTCCCTCTCTGTAGACAAAAGCAAGCAAATGACTCTGGACAAATTCCCACTTGGCACCTAGGCATAACTTCCTTAATTTTAAACAGGAATGCTTAGAGATGCTAAACAGGAATGTAGTGAATCTAGTTGAACTGCTTGCCACATAGGCACATCTCCTGGAGAAACCTACCAGTCTAGGCAGAGTTTTCTGTTCTGTACTGATATTTCTTGGAATTCCATTTGATTAAGTTTGATGGATTGCTATGTTGCTTATCCAGTAAGAGTAAGTCCCCACATACTGATATGGTGATGAATGGGTTTCATCATTTCATTCTCCTTCTTTCCCAAATTTCTGTCCTACTGCTTATTTTTGTGAGCAATTCTCTCCACTTATACCAGTGTTCTGCCAAACATCAGCTACAATGTGGCCAGTACATTGAAGGTGGTGGTTCTGCCCTCTCTCCTGTTGGTGAAACACCTCTGGGAATGCTATGTCCAGCTCTGGGGCAGTCAGCACAGTGAAAACGTGCATCTGTTGGAGTGAGTCCAGAGGAGAGCCACAAAAAAATCAGAGGGATGGAGCACTTTCCTTTTGCGGACAGGCTGTAAGAGTTGGGCTTGTTCAGGATGCAGAAAAGAACGCTCTGGGGAGACCTTATTGTGGCCTTTCGCTATTAAAGGGCTTATAACAAAGACAGGGACAGACCTTTTAGCACGGCCTGTTGCAACAGCACAAAGGGGAATGGTTTTTAAAGTGAAAAGGGGTAGATTTAGACTAGATATACAGAGGAAATTTTTTATGAGAATGGTGAAACACTGGTACAGGTTGACCAGAGAAGTAGTAGATGCACCATCTCTGGAAACATGCAAGGCCAGGCTGGACTGGGCTCTGAGCAGCCTGACCTAGTTGAAGCTGTCCCTGCTTATTGCAAAAAGGGTGGACTTGATGACCTTTAAATGTTCCTGCCAACATAAACTATTCTATGATTCCATGATACTATGTTGAAACCTTTTGCAGATTCACCTGGAAACATGTCTCCTATTTTAGACTTCTTTATGGATAAAAAATGCACTTTAGCATAATATGATAAAATAAATATAATTAAGAAGGTTATGGCTTCACTTTTCAGCTAAATCATAAAATGCCCACCCTAGATATAGAGGATTTTTTAATCTATAATGTTTCCATTTGCTTGACAGCCAAATGACTGATTAAATGCTTCAGAAGACAAAAGAGGCTTTTTGACAGAATTTCCTGGTCCTGAGAGTCATGGTAATGAATACTGCATGCAAAGGTGGCTGTGATGCTCCTCTTTCAACAGGGGCTATGCCAGACTTTCATCACGGGCACGAGGTCACAAGGTTGCAATGTTTTATTTACTAAATTGTCCTTCTGCACCACAAATAGCTGCCAGTATCTAGATCTCAGAGGAGCACCACCTTTGTTGTTCGCTGATACTATGCTTTATGCAGTTCACGATAAAGGGTGAGAGTTCTAATATATTGTTATATTTATTTGCAAGGCAACCTTAGCAGTCACTTGCCCACTGCAAAGGTCTCTGCTCTGTAGCTGGATGACAGGTTTATTATAGCAAAATAGCCTACATCCTGGCTATATTAGTTAGTTTCACAGAGCTTTTAATCTGTTGCTGTAATTCTGCTGTATTAGCAGTGTATTTTGATTCACATGGTTTTGTTGCATTAACGTTATAATTATACCTTCAGTTAGCAACTCTAACATACTGTTTTAATATAGGAAAACCTACTACTTTGGCCATAAGTGTGACTCTATTCATACTTTATACCACTAGCATATGTGTATGCTACCATAACATGGTATGAGACAGAGTTGTGCCAGGCTTGCCTCAGGGATGCAAGGAAATGGTGATCCATTAGGGCAGCAAGATTATCCTGTAATGGTCTTTGTAACCAAGAAATGTCAGTGTTTGTTACACTGGCCTGTGTCATTGCCTAGGAAAACATTTCAACAAAAGAGTGAAAGGGATATATCCTTAGTGTCTCTGACCATTCCCAGCTCCACAGAACAAAGGAGCATTGCCTTTTAGTCTTCCTTAGCAAAAAAATTTGAAGGGGAAACTGACTCTGGGGCAGACTTATCAATGTTACTTTCCAGAATAGACACAATGGACCTTTAAACACAACTCTTCATTCTTTTTGTGATTTAGAATGCTGGGACAATGTCGGTGTTAATTGTTTGTCAATCTGTTTTCTGTTTGCTTTTGTTTTGATGATAAACAGTACAAAATTGGTATAATGGTAAAAGAAAAAAGTATTCTTTATTCCTTTTTTTGTTTGTAATTTTTTTTTTCCCATTACCATGAACTTTCAAGCACATCAGTGCAAATGAAAGTGGTTAACCCTGGTTTTGTGCTTAGGTTCCTGCTGTCAGCATTGCTCAAGAAACTTCTGCAGCCCAAAACAAAGTGGCTTTTATTTCAGGGATGCAGTGATCAATGTGACATATTCATGTTTTATTGTTTAAATTTGCTTCAGTGTAGCATCAGCACTTAGAGAAACAGTTAACCCTGACACCAATGCGCATAAAAATAGAAGACAAAGAGAAAAGTGGGCCATAGCAGACTGATGAGTGGTAGGAATAGTTAATAGGACTCTGCTGATGGTAACTATATGGATTGAAAAATATATTATTTCATGCAGCAATGATTGATGGTACTTCAGCCTGTTCAGTTTGTTGTCACCACAAACTGAATTCTCTCAAGAGATCTAAAACCAGACTGAATTGTTTGAGGTCTTTAGTCAATTTAAATAATATGGCAGTGAAGTAAATAAAATTACACTTTCATACTACTCCAAATGCTTTGGCCAGATTGCTCTCATATTCATTGTATATTAAAGCTTCATTTTCTGAAAAACCTCAACCAATTGCTGTAGGTTATGTCAGCTGCATATTTAACTTGAGTGCCAGGTATAAGAGGGATTGCTAAAAGACACTGTAATTTGTCATTTTTTATTTTTTTTTTTCATTACAGATTAATCTCAGAGGTCTTGGGCAACTATATAAAATCCGCATTGGCCACGACAACACTGGAAATGATCCTGGTTGGTACCTGGAAGAAGTCAGACTTAAAAGAGTAGCCCCTCTTTCTGATGAAGAAATATGTCTCCCCATAGAGTGCTGGCTTGCAGAAGACAAGGGTGAAGGTGATACCTGGAGAGAAGTGACAATAAGAAACTCTGCAAAAGAGCTTTTGCCAGGTATGTGCTCAGTATTTTAGATCATGTGTTCACTGACCATAGCCTGTGAGTATATGACAGCTTTTTATGTTTTTTCCAGAGCAGACTACTCAAAAGACAGGGTAACCATGAAACAATCCCTTACAAGTACTTTCTAATTCAATAGAAGCAGGAAGTGATCATTTTACCCCACCTCTTTCCTCCCCCAGATCAGAAAAATAGCTATGGCTAAGCATCTTCCCCTGATAAAATTCTTGATCTCTCACAGTGTCCCTAAATCACTGGCAACTACTACTCTTTAGAGCAAGAGATGAGGCAGGAAATTAAGGCATATCAAGGTATATAATATCATGTGACATACAGTTCCTCTTAGCAAGTTTGATATCATCCTTTCTTGTGCTGTATAAAATATTATTTACCAGAAATCCATGGTCTGAATCATCACACACATGTTTTCCAAATCAAACTCAAGTCAGAGCCATTCACATAGAAATTGTTATCTGCAGGGTGGCTCTTAGGTACTTCAAAGTTTACCACAGCTTTGATGCAGTTTATTCTTTTCAAGTGAAGAGGGAAATGGCCTATCATAAAACATTATTATTTAAAAAGTCCTGGGCCTCTGTGAAGGAATAAGAAGCCAGTATAATAATTTAGCATTATGGGTAGAATTCTCTTTACATTAATAGAATAACAACTATGAGCTGATAGACAGCACTGTCTGACAGTAGTAGGTCTTATATAGAGAGGTGTTACCATTCAGGCAAATTGTATTCAAAATGAAGCAGTGAATATTGCAAGGAATCAGTGATTCAACATAAAAAAGGGTCATCATGCACTTAGTGATGATCAAACCATTTCAGATGGAAATATCAAAGAAGTGAAAAACCTTAACTCAAAGGAACATAATTCCCTGAAAAAGACATCAAGACTAGTGAGATGTGGATGTTTTAAGGCCAAAGGCAACTACTGATCGCTATTACAGAGGCCAGAAGATGCTGAGAAACATGTATGGGCCATCTCACATTTGCTGCAGAGTATATAGTGATTTGAATCAGGGATTTCAAATACTGGGACTGATCAGGATGAGCCATGCCCTATGATCATTAATTAGTCCATACCACGGTACCATTTACCGTTTCTTACAGTGACATAAATACCTTATACTGGTGTGACAGAAAAATAGCGCAGGAGCCCATTAGTTTGTATGAATGATTAATTCAACATCAATAACTCAAATCTGCACTGCGCATTTCAAAATCTGCATTCACAGAAACGTACTCGTATTCTGTTAGGCGCACTCCATTTATGTACTTGTATGGGAAGAATCAAGTCAGTTCTATCAAAGGCTGGGAATATGTTTAAAGCAGCACATTTATTTACATTTTAATCATTATATTACTGCATCTTTCCTTGCTTTTCCAGGAACATTATCTTTATTAAAATATATCTCTCAAGTTTGTAAGAAAAGAAATGTTAGGATTTGGAAATTTCCAGAAATTGTAAGTTTTACAAATTAATTATTGATTTTAAGCACATTTATATTGAACATCAATATACATTTAGCAAGGCCTTCTAAGGATTTCCTATTTAATTTCTCCAGAACAAGAAAATGAAACATTACCCATTTGGATTTCTCATTTGAAAGCTAATTCTTGCAAGTACTGGACAAACCACATCAAGTCACTTTTGCCAGCAGAACAAATGATGTACTAATTACTTAATGATAATTTTATAAGATTTAGTAATTTGTATCCTGCACTTTCAATTCTACCTGGTATTTCTTAGTGGTATTACATTTGCTTAACTATAAAAGTGATGTGATGGAAACTAGACAAAATGAACAAATATAAACTAAACTCTGAAGGCACTAGTTTTTAATTGCTCTTAACACTTGCTTTTTTTCTCAACTTCTCTCTTAGAAGAAGGGGTACCTTTTCCTTAGCCTTTTTCTCCCTTTTTCCAGGCAAACTCTACTATGCACCCAATAAGGAATGAAAACCTTCAAGCTGATTTTTTATTCCTTGTCTTTCTTTTTTTAGCTTCTATTCTTCAAATCATAAATTATACCCTGCTACATTCTGGTTTTTTTTTCCTCTGATTCTTCTACCCAGTCTCATGTTTTCCTAGCAGTTCCAGATATTTTATTTTCACAAACTTTGCAAGTATTGGAGTGTTCATTTGTTTCTGTTTTATTTGATTTCATCCCCTAGTTACGTTGTGATTCACAAAATGGAAGAAAAATTGTTCAACTATTCTCTAAGTGATAGCTATGGGAAATTAGTGGTCATGCTCTGAACTGTGTAAATCCTAAGTGTCACTCGATGAGAATAAGATAGAAGCTTATTTTGAATGCTTTTTACTGAACATTATAACATCATGATAACACAGAAGTGTTAGGGCAATCAGACCAGATCTGGCAGCTCACTGTGGGTGAGGCTGCTGCAGCTGCATGGCCCCAGGTCCAACCAGCAGCAAGGCTGACCATGTTTTCCTGGTCAGCACATACAGAGAAAGCACATCTATACACTACAAATATATACATGTATATGTGGCCAACTGCACAGATAACCCAGACAGCAGTTGCAGAAACATGAACAGCACCAGCAGCCTCAATCTATTCCCCTCTCTGACTGAGAATGATGGAGGTCAACTAGTGGGATATCCATGTGTATGCATATGTGCAAGGTGGATGCTTCCAGCAGCTGAGCTCACACACTCCATCTGCTCAGCAGATGTCCTTGGATCCCAGTATCCCTTGTTGCTGGCACCTGGATATGTGAGCCCCCAAAGGCTGCACGCCCAGTTTGGCTGCTGATACAGACCATCTCATACACACACAAATGCATATGCAGAACCGTCTCACCCCTAGAGACGCCCATACCTCACTCTATCTCTGGGAGCTGGCCAGGACTCCTGTGGCCCCTCCAACAGTCAGCTACTCATGTGGTCTTGCACATAAAGACATGAGACTGACCTCATCCTCTACACTTGTGGACACTTCACTCTCTCCAGTCTCTCCAGTTGCCTTCTTGCAGGCCTGCAGCTGGGTCCCAGTCAAATTGTGGCACTCAGACCCCACATCCACACATGCACACACACACAGAGAATGGAGTCCTTCACCCAGAAAAAGTTAGAAAGCTAATTAATAGGAAGATGGGACAGACTGCACTGATCAGATACTGGACACAGCCAACCTTACTAACCAGCAATGTTAACTTTCTCCAGTCCTTTTGATCCCTTGATTCCTCTGTTTTCCCACACTTGTTCCTCTCAAATCAGATCCATCTCTTCTCTTGACTTTTGTTCCTCTTCTACACGTCTCATAATAAGTCCTGTGCACACCCAAAATACTCTACCACTCTGTCTCCTATCGCCCACATCCCCAGGCAGCAAACCCCAGCTGTCTGATAAATATTCCAGAACTGACTCATGATAGGTTTCATGCCCAGACACTGGGACTGAGACTCTCCTGGGACAGCCCTGCAGGTGCTGGGAGAGGTTTCCCTTCCTCTGAATCCTTGATCTGAGTTCCTGCCTGCCCTTGTCCCCTTGTGCTTGTGCAGATGGGCTGATGGCTCCTGTGATGGGCCTGGGAGAAGCAACAACAGGGTGTTAGTTGAACTCCCCTCTAACCAGTATCTGTCTTTGCTCCTCTGTGAGTGTGCAAGATCTTTATCACGCATCCTAACATGGATTGTCTCCAGATATGGCTGAAGTTTTTGATGTAAAGGGGGGCATGATACAGGAAGTGTTGAATTTTCTTATTGTTCTTTTATGTGAACATAAACTTCAGATAAGAAGATGAATCAGTAATTCTGCCTTGTTCTTGTTCACATAATTGAAGGAATAACTGCACTGACTTGAGATAAAAGACAAATATTGAGGCTGAGACAGGAAAAACTCCAGCTCAAAAGATTTAGGTTTCTCTTCCACTTGGAGAAATGTAAAGGCAAATACAGAAAGGTTAGAAATGTGCTCACTGACTGAAATAGCACAAAGGAGGACCAAAGAAACTAGTAATTACTCAAGCATTATCTCTACAAAGTTTGCATCGCTGTTTAATCACTCAGAAAGCACCAACTACATAGGTAAATAGCCAAACTTCTGTTTCTTATTGTAAAACTTATTACTAAGTGTGCTTTTGCAAAGCTGGTAATTTTCTTACATGTTATGAATAATATTCCTGAATTATTTCTTTTAGAATATTGCTGCAAATTGCAGTTGTGGAGATTAGAAAGCCTGAGAACTCTAATTGAAATGTCTTAACATGATAGTGTTTTTGTATGTATGTCTTCTCAAATGATATATGCAGCACTTCTGAGGAAGATAGTCCCTCTTAACCACTACCATCCATTAAGAAATTGCTAACTTTTAGCCTTAATGCTGCAGCAGTCTGTATCTGTACCCTTCTGTCCTGACAGAATGCCAGTCACTATTTGTGCAACCGAGGTAGTAAAACTAAATAATAAAACCACATCTTGCTGTTTAACAAATCAAGGCAAAATGACCACTTCATTCAAGCAGACACGTCATATGGAAAAAAGGTAGAACCTCGAACAGTACTGTGTAATACTGTTCTAGTATCTTGGATTGCCATCATTAAGGCAGGACTGAACAGCAAGAGTTTGACAATTTTAATGCTGTATATAATTTACCATCTCTCTAGGTTTTGTGTTCTTTGGCCAATATGTCTGTTTACACTAGCATCCTGGTGGGAGTGGATTTGTGCAGTGAAGTGGTTGGTGCTAAAAACCCAATGAGCTAAAGGTTCAATGTCCTCATTATGTGTGTTTGGGGGGAAGTTACTCTAGCCTTGTTTTAGTCTGTTCCCACAGACTGACTGCCAATTTGGGGCAAGATCATTGTCGTGTTCTTGGAACGTATCCTCTGGTGCAGTTTAATCCAAAAAGAATCTATATTTTCCCCTCCATGCTGCAAAACAGAAAGAAGTAACTGGGAGATTGTTTCTTGATTCAAACTAATGTGCTGTTTTAGGCACACCAGTGTCATTAGGCTCAGACAGCTGTAATGCAGAGGAAGTTTCTCTAATGTATGTTGAGTAATAAGTGCTAAGTATACTTATCTTGAATTCATCTGCTCATAACTAGAATTCTAAAATAATGGCTATACTTTGAGTAGAATCACTTTGAAAAGAACTGACAATGGGACCATAGTTACACTAAGCAGAGAAAGACCAATATTTCTGCAGTGAAAATTTTCATTTTCTTATTCTCACTAAGAAATTCTCCTACTAGGATTATTTTCTTCTTCTCCCAAAGCATATCAAAATATTAACTTAGTCTTTAACGCAAAGCAACCTCCAATGCTTGTTTACTGTTTACATAAGTCACTGAATTCTGTGCTTTACTCCCTCAGAAGGTAATGAGAATTATGTACTGTGCTTGCAGATTGAGGCCAAACTAACTCTAACCATTGGTGAAGTATCAGGAGCATAGCACCCTCCTATACTAGAAACCCTAATTCAGGTGCCCAGAATAAGAAGTCTGGATAAAAGGGTTCTCTAAGTTGCATTCTATTACCCTCAGTATGCCCTTAAGTTACCTTTTCTTCATAACCAGATAAAAGAAACCCTGCCTTTCTCTCTCCCCTTTATTCCAGGTAGTTCATGTTCTCCTGTTATCAGTAGATGACAGAAGCTGGAATTGGGACTTAAAAAAACACCTGAAGCCTCATGATAATGTCTCAAGAGATAGCAGTAGTAGCATTTTTATGGACTGAGCAAGTGTAAATTTGGTACTTGTACACTTGACTGCTCAGTGACTCCTATAGTATTTTTCAACATAGTTTTTATATTGCTTTAATGTCTGTCTTTCATGGAGCCTTTAAGAAGCTTCCCACCTCTGTCTGAAAACATTTTATCTCCCTTTATTCAAAAATTTCATCCACACATCCACATCACAGAGTTTTCTGTTTGACTAGAGCTTATCTAAAGTTACCCTGTTAACAATTTGAAGATATCAATCACTCATTTTCTGAAAGGTCATTTTCGTTTTTTGTGATTTCTAGCTGAGACTTTTTCCTGCTATTCTGTATTAATTAATACTCTTCTATCCTTTACTAAAGTTACTGCGTTCTTCTATTATTTTGATGTGCCCCACATTAGACAAGTGTCTAGATGCGAGTCTAACAAATGCTGAAACAGTATTTTCTGGCTTCTGTTGAGTGGCTTGGTTTATGATACCATTTTCAACTTTTTCTGTCCTTTTTTTTGTTTGTGTTGCCTATGGGCCTACCTCTCTACTTTGTCACCCCAGTGTTCAGCTGGTATACCTTCACTAAATCAACATATAGTGAAATTAAATTACTACTACAGGGCAGAGGATAGAGCAATAGAGTTCTAATTCTCAGGGGGTTGGGATGGCCTTTACTTATTGCAGTGAACAGGACTCCATTTCAGATGTGGCAGCAATGGAAGCCTTTGAGTAGGTCAGTTTCTCGAAGGAAATTAAACCAGAGTCACAGAGGCTGAACGTGTTTTCTAGGGTCTTTTTATTTTACTCTATGCACAAAAAATCCTATGTTTTGTGAGGATACAGAAGGCTACAAACTGGCAAATTTCACACACGGTGAGTCTTGCTGTCTCAGCAGTGCATTTGACTGGTAGGTTTGTTCTCCAGATTTGGTGGTATTTGTTCCCTGTGCTCATCAAACTACTGGTGTTCCTTGCCTTTTCTTTACAGAGTGACATCATCCTTCTTATTCTTACAGTTAAGCAATCTGTAGCTCAGGGGCCACTAACACTCGCACCTTTTGTAGCTGTTCTGCAATCTAGAGGAACTGCTTGACAGTGGTTGAAAAAATTCCATCCACTCAAGCTGGTCTGTGCCCAGGTGTCCGTCTGTACAAACAGCCTCCACAATCTATTTAGTGGATGTTCATTTATCCATAGTGACATGTTCGAAGTAGGCATGTACAATGTGTTTTGCAGAATATTTTTGTTGCTTATTTTTTGTGTATTTCCTATAAAATGCATTGTAACAAATAAGGGAAATGAACATTCCATTTATTATCCTTATATAGCAGCCTGTATTGTTAATTTGTACAAAAATTTGAAGCACAAACTGATCTTCCTTTGTTAAGAAGGTTCCTTTAAAAATAACGCAGATCGTGTAACCTAAATAAATGCCAGACCTAACATTTTCCAGATGGCAAAGATGTATAGACCCAAGGAGCTATGGAAAATATTTTCCAGTTCTTTACATTTCAACATGTGCATGTTTTCTACTTCAGACTGGTTTATTTAGTCTTGTAGCAATAGAAAGCTGTATTTGATTAGATCATTATCATCTCTCTGGTTACCACAGAGATGCACAGTGCTGCAAAAGGAACTGTAATTCATTTATCTGTTAATATCTTTGTGTTGTGTTATAATTATCTCTTATTCTGTTCTGGTGTGTTCTCCCTTCAGGAAAGAAAGAACTTGTTGGTATCTTCTTCTTATCATAATTTATTGTTAAAGGATTCTTAAAACCTTGAATATGCTTTGAAATTGTGCTTATAGGTACTTAAATTTTGCAGGTTTGATCACAGAATTTAGTTGTAGGTGTAAGTAATGCAAACACCAATATTTGTAAATAAACACTGATTACATAAAGTCTCTACCATTTCCTTAGCTCCCACAGATGTTTTTCTTTTTCAAAATTGAAAATATAAGTAAGAATGTAAAAGCATGGAGGAGACTTCATGTCGATATGTCCCTGTTTTTACTAATCTGCAGTCTTGCTCCATGGGTAGTTCATCCCTATTATTCAAATAGCTGCTCACAGATTAATATCATTGTTAGGTTTTCTTTTGGAAGTGTGACCTCTCTTCTTCCACACACTGACAGATATTTGCCCTTTCATGAGTAGTGCGGCTCTCTGTTTTGCTGTGTGTTTCCTGTCATAGTTTGCTGTCTTCCCTTATCCTCTGTCCTTTGGCCAATTTCTTGTTTGTCTTATATTCTCCTGCTGCTAATCTGCACACAGGTGTGATTAGTCTAAGAGGATATAAAATGTCATTTGGATATATAGCTCAATTATGCTAATTATCAGGTCCATTTATCTTTGTTACTTGTGATTCATATCTACCATTTGTTTTAATATGATGTTTTTATGGTAGAAATCTGAAATTAGTTTTTATAATGCTCTACCAAATTTTTGAAGATGTGCATGTATTACTAAGATCAGTTATATGTCCTGGGCTGGGCTGGTACACTAACATATGGACATGAGGACTTCAGTGAATGCTTGGAGTTACAGAAAATAACAAAACAGACCAAGGGACAGAACACCTACTTTGACTTAAAGTTGTAATAGTGATAAAGAGTTGGAGACACTCTCTTTACCAGTTTAAGATAATTTGATGCAGTTTAAAAGAAATATCCTAATCTGGATAAGCATACAGTCAACATCAACACTTCCTGCCTACCTTTTAATATATGTAGGATTATTTTTTCCCCTTAATTATTTGCAGTATTATTTTACTACTTGTTTAGCTTCTCTACTGGGAATCAGAAATAGCTGTTCTTCAGCGATGGTGGATATTTGAATTTTATAAGCTGCTTTAGGGTCCAGTGAATTAAAAGTTGATGGAAATGTCAGATTCTACAAGCTATTTGGTGGTTTAAGATGGATAGTATTTTAATTCATTTTTTTGTAGAATATTGCTCAGTTTCAAGCATTTTGTTATAATTTTCTGTTTTCATCTTAGTTTCTTCTTAACAGCAGTGCTTAATTGTGTGTTAGGGCTTCTACTGCCTCTCTTCACTCCCAAGAACTATTAAAATTACCCATTAGTGAAAGAGCAATCTCTGTGATCTACTACATCGCAGCAGAAATGGCCAGCTGTGATTAGAATAGAAACACTGCATGGAAAAATTGCCATTAAGATGTAAACAGGATTTTTTTTTTCTTAATCATAAATGAAATGAGTACTACAAAGATATATATTTAAATAAGTTTGCATATCTGAATAAAGATAATATTAGTATGGAGCAAAATATGTTAATACAGCAACTCTGAATTATATTCCAGAATTCTTTGAAGAAAAGCGTACATTTTTTTGTGTAAGACTTTGGTTTATACTAGAAGGAGAGGCATTAAAAAGTTATAAATATATTTTCAGTGAAAGCTGTTTTAAAAGGGCTAGCATCCACTAGTGCTAGATGCTGAAACTTTCAAATGCAAATTGTCTGCTTATTATAGATGAGGGGGCCCATTAATCTACTTGCTCACCTTTGTATGTGATGTGAAAATCTAAACCCCCTAGGATTCATGATTACTGTTCTCCTTTTAAGATGAAATGAAGGTTGACCACCCAGAAAATTCTGTTTTGCATAAATCTGGACCTTGAAAATGGCTTGGTGACAGTGGAAAACAGCTATTGTTTGTGACCATGACCAGGCACAGTTAGTTGACCTCCAGATAATTTGCCAAGAAAGACCTTGTGAATCAGGTCCTGAAATCATGAACAGTCAACAGGGAGTGAGTGAAGAAAATGGAGCACTAGGTAACATTTGCTTGAAGGGCTGCTTTGCTGAGCAATGCACAGCAATGCTCTGCATATTGCACTTCTTTTAAGGCTGGTATTTTCTTATTTTTGTGCAGAGAATTGCAATATTTGACAAATGCATGTGTAGCTGTTGTGAATTTCAAACTTGAAAGTCAGTGCAGTCTTCTGGCAAAATTTTGGTGGGAAAGCTTTTGAATCATGTGAACACTACAAGGATAATCTCAAGCTTTTTCTTCCTCTAGTGTTGGTATACGAGGTCCATGTATACACGGGTGCTAAATCTGGTGCTGAAATGAATTCTAATGTTTATATCAACCTCATCGGGACAAGAGGAGATACTGGCAAAAGGAAGCTCCACAGATCTAAGAATAATAATGTAAAATTTCAACAAGGACAGGTGAAGTAATAGCAATGCTATCTCTGATCAATAAAAGTAATTTATAGCTAGCAGAATGTTTCTTCAAGTCTAAATATCTTTCTAAGTTTTATTCAAACAGTTTACAATTTTCTCATATGTTTTCTTTATTCAAAATTACTTGCAGAATTAACTCATATGATAACTGATCTTCTGAATCAGTAATTTGCTGAGAACATTGGATAGGAGAATTTGAGTACTCTTAGTTACTTACATTGCACATATACAGAAAATGGCAACAACATTTTTTGTTCTTTCAAACAGGTCACTGAATTTTAGAAGCAAGTTCTAAATCCTTATTCCCAAGTGTGTTTTCCAATCTTGGTGAGGCAGATAGGACTAGAAAGAGTAATACAGAGATGACCAAATAACTCTTTGCAACTGATCATTGTGTCATGCTAAAGGAATTGAGTGCTGTCTCTGTGGAGTAATCTTGAGATGTTATTTACCTTAGAATGCTTCAAAGGATCCTCACTATTAATTTTGAAAAAAAGAGAGACAGAAAATAAACTGTTCTATACTGTTATCGTCAAAGCAATAGCTGTGTTCAAGACCTTTATCATTTTCCTTGTATGGTTCCACAGATGGATATTTTCTGCATAAAGGCTATCTCACTGGGAGACTTGGAGAAAGTTCTGATTAACCGTGATGGAGCCGGTCCAGGTAGGATTTAACTTCCCAGAGACCAATCTGCTTTCAAGCCCTTTTTAAACAGAATGCATTTTATTTATATTGCATCCTTCATGCAAAATGTGACAGAAGGTCATGCAGTGATAAAAAGTCTTCCTGCAGACTGGTCACTGTGACAGGATGGTGAAAAACAGTGGTAATGGAAAGCAAAAAGGACATGAGTTTAATGTCAAATACTGTCATCCTACTCTTCGTTTTCAAGTTTACTTATAAGAAAATCCTATTTAATTACATAGAAAACTCATGAAAGCATAGCTTACACAGGTAAAATAATCCTTCATTAGACAAACTGTGAAGACTGGCCAGAATAGAACTAAAGATTGTGAACACTTGCTTTAGTACCAAACAAATTTTAAGTAGCTATAGCATAATGCCCTTGCTGCTTTAGGCAATGGTAGAAGATCTGGATATTTTTTTAATCTATACAAGTAATGTGGAGTTTTTCCAGTGAATGACACAGCATGTAGCTTGCACGTTTTTCCGAAACAAAAAAAAACAAAAAAAGAGACAATTTTGTGATGAGGTGTATTTTTGGTACAGGCCTTTGAGTTATGCACCTCTAGAATGATGTAAATGTAGCACCAAAGGTGCAAATACTGCAAATACATTTGCAGATTAAGATCTAGGAAGGAGCCAAGTGAAGAGAAGGATTTTTAAGGCAGGTCAGGGCTACACTGATCCAAGATTAGAGAAGCACTTTTACCCTACTCTGAAATGGCCTGGAGCAGCATCCATGTTGCTGACTGTACTGTCTAAGACTCTGAGCAAAATTATTTTATTAGAAAAGTAGCCTTATTAGTGCAGCCTTAATATGCAGTGTAAACTTGATTCTGGTATCTCTGTAGTTTGTTAGTTTGCTTCTTTCAGCAATACAGATGATTGTATAATTGAGTTTCACATCTTAGTAGGCTAAGACATAACACAGAAGGTAGTGTGATGGAGCCTACCTTCACTCAATTTCCTCAGGACACCATACCATGTTCTCTTCCTTTGACTTTCCTTTAATAAGCAACATAGCCATATTACTGGAACCGCATTACAAATGTGCAACCAGAGTCAGCTATCTTAAGCTCTTCTATGGCAGTAGACATCTGTGGATTTGCAGGATCGTCTAAAGAGGACAATGGGTTGAATTCTATCTATAATAAAATTTATGCCTCGGTGATTAAGATGATTGTTCATTGTATTCAGCACAGACAGATCTCACAGACCTCTTTTAAAGTGTACCCAGACCTAGCCCCAGATAAGCCTGGCCTGAGGTAACCAGGGAGTTTGGGAGCTGGAAATGGATGTTGAGTCAGGACAGGGGCTATCTAGAGACCCAACCTTTTGGGAGTTGAGAAGGAAGAATGAAGGTTCCTTTAGTGGCGAGGCTTCCCTTTTTTCTAATCATACCACTTGCTTGTATGATAGGGCAGAAGGTCTTTAGTCTTGAAAGTATCATAGAACATATGCATTCTCTGGGGCTCCTAGACTGCAGTGCATAGATCTTCTCCCTCAGCCATTGTGAATGAGGAAAGAAAAGGAATTTTGTCCTAGGTTTTGGTATTGGTCAGGTGTGAGTCACAAGATGATGTGTCTTATCTTCTGAAAGAACCTTCTTCTCCATAGAAACCTTCCACACATTCCTGTACATTTACACAAGCAACACTTTTCTTTTTTGGCCTGTTTTAAAGTAACCTGCCTGGTTGGTGGTTAATGTGGTTAACTGGAAGGCTAGTAGGTTCTTTCCAGTTAAAGGATATCTGCAATATAAGAGGGTGACATCAGGAAAAACTTCGTTACTGTGAGAGTGACAGAGTACTGGAACAGGCTGCCCAGGGGGGGTGTGGAGTCTCCTACGTTGGAGATATTCAAGGCCTGCCTGGACAAGTCCCTGTGTGATGTACTCTAGGTTACCCTGCTCTTGCAGGGGGGTTGGACTAGATGATCTTTTGAGGTCCCTTCCAACCCTTGGGATTCTGTGATTCTGTGATGGAAGAAGCTTGCAAAGTGTCCTAATGTGCCCCGGGCCTGAAGTCTTTAAGGAGAAATACCATTCTGTTCCATGCACTGCCTGGGCAAGTCCTCCTTATGAGACAGAGACTGCTGCCTTCTAGGGACTTCAAGACTCAGATGCAAAGCATGAGAATAAATAGGACAGTTGTATGCTTCTAACTGAAACATCCTTCATGCTATTTTGCTACAATGTGCTGTTAAATAGAGTTGTGAGTAAAGCAAAATGTCATAAGCAACACGACAACTTGTGAGTGGTGCAGACACAGTGAGAACAGGATATTTGAATAGTGCTTTGCAGAAGAGCTGTACCAATCACTAGGATGGTTACTGGAAGTGATCCAAGAGATCAGCATGGATGCAGCAGTGGTTACTGCTGTTAGGGAGAGAAAAAAATCAGAAGTGAGGCTGCATAGGTCTGTGCCTGCTGGTCCCACTAGTAGCAAGCCTGAGTATGTGTTGCCACATGGCACACACAAAGACACATTTATAAAGCATATATGTATGCACATGGCTGGCCACACATATCAGCACAGGAACTCAGCACATACATAAATGCAAACAGCATCAGTGGCCTTATCCTATTTCCCTCTCCAGCTGATCAGTCTATCTATCTATCTATCTATCTATCTATCTATCTATCTATCTATCTATCCAGTTTGACTTATAAGGACTCCAGTAGCTGGCCTTAGACACTCAGTCTATCCAGCTGCTGTCCCTGGATCCTTGTATCTTCCGTTTTCCCAGTTACTGGCACCTATACAAAGCCCTTCCAAGGCTGCAACCCCATTCCATTTGCAAATGACAGCCACATTCTTAATGATTTGTTAATTCTCTTCTATGTGCAATAACAAGTTCACTCAAAATGACCAAAATTTCCAGCTTTCACAGAGGTCTCATTCTCTAAGGAAAAAAATCCCCACTTGTCTCAAAATTAAAACAGCGAGGCAGAGAAGAATTAACATTGTACCTCTTGTGAGAGACACAAATAATAGAGCTTTCACTCTGTTAATATATCTTATCTGTTTAGCTTAGCTCTGTCTTATCATAATATGTTTCTGCTGGATTTTTTTTTTTAATTTTAATACAAAAAAATGCATTATTTTGCATGATAAACTTCTGTCATTACAATGCAGGCAATGGATGGTTCCTGGACAAGATTGTCATCAAATATAAAGAAGGAAAGGAAGATCAGGAGGTTGTATTTCCTTGTAATAGGTATGCCATTAATGGAGAAAAAGCATTTATTACACTTCCAGCAACCTAAGGGAAAAAAATTAGATAACAGATATGTGCACACAGCCTAAATGTATGAGCACTGTTGCAGAGTTTCTCAAGATACAAGAAGTACAGGATTTTGCCATTGAAGACAAATAACAATGTTTCTGTAGGGAGCAAAGAAGCCCAAAACGAAATGTTGCATAGGAGGAAAAGTGCACTGATTTTTTTAAAAATCTAAATTATACAGAAACCACACATAAAGTAATGAGATCTCAGTTCTCAATGTTTTAAGAAGTATTGTGTATAAATATATGATATGATGTACACGGAAACATGGCAGGATGATTCACAAGGGGAGTGCTGCAATGGATGGTTATAAACTCTTCAGAATGTATAGGCAACAAAGGAGAGGCAGTGGGGTAGCTCTGTATGTTAAGGAAGGAGGGTTTAGATTGTCTAGAGCTTAATGATGATGACAATACGGTTAAGTGTTTATGGGTAAGAATCAGGCGGAAGGCCAACAAGACAGATACCATAGTAGGATTCTGTTATAGCCCATTCAACCAGGATGAAGTGGCAGATGAAATATTCTAAAAGCAGCTGAGAGAAGTCTCACAATCGCTAGCCATTGTTCTCATGGGGGACTTCAACTTACCAGATGTACAATGGAAGTACAATACAGCAGAGAGGAAACAGTCCAGGAGGTTCCTGGAGCATGTGGAAGTTAGCTTCCTGACCCAGCTGCTGAGTGAGCCAACTAGGGAAGGCACCCACTGCAGCTGCTGTTTCTGAACAGTGAAGGACTTGTGTCTGATGTGGTGGCTGGGGGCTGCCTTCGGCCCAGTGATCATGGAATGATAGGGATTTTGATTCTCAGAGAAGTAAGGAGGACATCAGGAGAGCTGCCACCTTGGAATTATGGAGAGCAGACTTCGGCCTGTTGAGGAGCCTGTCTGACAGAGTCTCTCAGGAGGCAGTCCTGAAAGGCAAAGGAGTCCAGGAAGGCTTGACATTCTTCAAGAAGGAAGTCATAAAGATGCACAAGCAGGCCATCCCCATGTGCTGAGAGACGAGCCAGCTACTCATGGCTTGGATGGGTGTACACTTCGCTGAGTAAAAAACTGGCAGGCTGGCTGAGCCCAAAGAGTGGTGGTCGATGGATGTACATCCAGTTGGTGGCTGGTCACAAGTGATGTTCCCAGGGTTCAGTGTTGGGGCCAGTTCTATTTAATATTTTTATCAGTTATCTGGACAAACGGAATTGGGGGCACTCTCAGTATGTTTGCAGATGACACCAAGTTGGGTGGAATGTTGATCTGCTTGAGTTATCATATTGGAATAATTAATATAGTAGAATTTGCAGAATTCTAATGTAGATCAAGATAATTATATTCTGTAATATGTGGTCCCCAGAATTTATGAGTTTGTGTTACATGGCTGAAATCTTTTCCATGTTATTTTGAGAACAGTGCCTTGAACTCTTGAAAATCTTTAGGTGTTCATTAAAGACAGCTCTCCTCCTCTAGGAATCCTATCTCTTTACTAAAAACAGGATTTCAGTTTGCAAGGTTCCTGGAAATGAGTACCTGAGAAATATTTACTCCCCTCAGAATTATTATTCTAATGATCAGGCTTTTGGTTTAGTTTTCCTTTTTGGTGGTTAGGCTTTTTAGCTGGTTTGGTGTGCATTAAAGATGGTTATTGGAAGAGTAGATGAATGAGAGGATTTTTTTTTTAATTTCAAGGAGATATTTTAAAGTCAAGGAGACTTCTCTAAAGGGTGGGATACTCAGTGAAGACACTGGGCTGTCTGCAAAACTGCCTTGTCAAAAGGAAATTATCAAGCTCTTAGAAAAATATTAGGGACATTATGTATAGAACTAGAGGACTTCTGTCATTGTTTGCCTGCAGTGTAAGTGCACTGCCAATGTGTCAAAGTTTGATTTCTATTTTTAGAAAGAGCTAGTGATCTTTTGTTTCTTAAGAAGAAATAACAAGATAGGTCACAAAAGTTAATCAAACTATTTATTGCAACAATAGTTGAAATACAGTGGACTTTAGACTTCATGCATAAGAGGTTTATTCATAGAGGTTGTTTTACATATGAGAAGTGAAACGTATTATGGATCCTTCAGTTTAAGCACATGTAACCTCAACATGGAGACAATAGAACAGAAGCTGTTAGTGAGCACATATTTATGTATATTTGAATAAGTGAGATTGTTAAAAAACTGTAAAGTGTTATATGAACAAGGGGGATCGACTGAATGAGTATAGATATATGCTTATAGTGAAATGATATTGCAAGAAAGCACCTTAAATTCACCAAAATAGCAAAAAAAGGAAGTAAAAAGAGAAGTTAATTACGGCAGATCTACAGAAGCTGTAGAAACTTCCAGACCTGCACAGGTTATATATAATTTTAAGTACAACGGATATAGCTAACCACTGCAGGTGAGATCACCCCACCAAATACACAGGTGAGTCTCTGATCCTGTAAATACTTAGTATTTCTTATAATGTAATTTGTATAGTACTGTAGTACTTTGCATAGCTACCATGATAATTCCTATTTGCCTGGATCAGAGTGAGCCAAATTCTCCTAATATGAATAAGGTTAACTCTGATGAACTTACTTATAAAAGATAATTCAATCTAGAAAGCAGTTTCAATGCATAATTTGACTAAAAGGTATATAAAATTATTATTGGAGAGAGAAGGTAATTGTCAGATTACTTGTAATATACTGATAATTTTTGTTAATATTTTTGTTTTTGCAATGAAAGGTGGTTAGATGAATATCAAGATGATGGGAAAACTGAGAGGGAGCTAACTGCCAGTAGTAAGTATTTTGTTGAAGAATATTGTTGTATATACTTAATATTGGTGTTGTATATACTTAATGCCTAGTTATTACTGAAGAGCCTTTCTGGATGAGACTTTAACTTAAGAAGAAAAGTGATAATAAAGCTTGCTTACATATTTTTTTCTGCTCATATTTTAGAGGATGACAGTTCAATGAAGACGTTCCTTAAAGGTAAGCGTTGTTTTCTACACCGTTATTTTTGTTGTTTGAATTTAATCTGCAAATCAGTGTTGTGACAAATACATAACCACATGACCTCAATGTACACATATACTATCAACTTTGAGAGAAAATGAAGATAAATTGCTGTCGATAGTCTACAGGAAGGACTAGGCCTTTATAAGTAATTGAGAAAAACATGCTGCTCATATACGATTTCTGTTTTTTTTTGTATTTCTACTATTCTGTCTTGAAATCAGCCAGGAATTCCCCTGAGAAGAGATTCAATTGCTGTTTTGTTTATGCCAATATCACTGTCATTTAATACATGGGGACAGGTCCCCTAGCAAACATCAGCAAGTTGAAAAATGTGTTGTGAAGTGTCAGTGGAAACATTTTCAGGTCAAAATCCATCAGGGTATTCTTAAAGTAGCCAGAAATAATGCAGGCTTAAAGTCCATATCCGTTAGTGAAGCTAAACATAGTATACACATTCAGCTGAACAAATCTGCTTGAATTAATACAAAGATTTTAATAAAAATTACCCATTTTTTTATACCTACGAACACAGCCTCATCACTGTAACATGCTTGCATCTCCCAAGTGTTTAAAATTTGAGATACCATCTCTGGGTTTCTCCCTAACCAGAGAAGAGAAGCAGACCAACAAAAGTATTTTTGCAAACATTTAACTGCAAATGTGTATCCTGTGCAAGTGTGTCTGGGAACTGGATGGGAGAAACTAACCTAAAACACCCCCAAACATTTACATTCGTCTCTGAAAACAGTGACTTGCCTTCTGTAGCATGAGTACTGATCTCGCAGTCTAATTCCAGTTTCAGTGAAAATTAAATCATTTATATTCAATCAGACAGTTTAGCCAACAACATTATTGTTCTGTGGCAGCATAACTTTGACAAGAGGAGACTGATTAACTCAGGTAAGTCAAGTTTTTCCCACAGACAAATTTGATTTTCATGAGTGATTTGCAATAGGATTCTGCATTCTGCTAAGTGCAGAGTTCAGAGATGCAACCATAATATCTATTTCACATTATGTTCAGAAAGTAGATAATATTTTACTACTAATCTAAGATTTTTTTCCAGTGCAACTTCATTCTCCATTATGCTATAATAAGCAGGCACAGACGCACAAGCTGCTGAGAGCCTGAACGTGTCAAGAGTGGTTAGACACAATATTTTGATTATGAGGAGAAAGGAGTGGCTTATTCTGAATCAGTTTGTGAAATATCACACTGTCAAAACGTCCAGGAGAACCCAAAGAGTATGTGCGGATGTCTTAGGTTGCGATCAGAGATTCTGAATGATGAAGGTATAAAGGAGAACATTTTAATAAGTGTTCTGCCAATTAGCCATGCATCAGGTTAGCTTGAATTGCTCTTTAGCCATCTTTTCTTCCTCCAGGGGCTCATTCCAGTGAGGAACTGAGATAGGTGAGAAACTGTGCTTTTATGCCCTATGTAGAAAAGGTGATCAGCAGTACTGATCTCAGGATTGTTCACAGTTTAAATTGTGTTGTCGTACTGGTTATATCATAGGCCTTGCATGTGAAAAGACTGAGCTTCATAGGAGGGTAATAATCACAACAGGTTTGGAAAGCTGTCTTGTACTCAGTTCTTTGTCAATCCATCAGACACAGTTCTAGGGTTAGAGCTAATAAGAGAAAATTTCAAAGATGCAGAGTCTTGGAAGGAAAAATAATTGCCTTAAATTCTCCCAGCAGCTGTAGCAGTGAAGATTTCACATGGTAGAGCAGATAGTAGTGATAAGCAGTCCTGTTCACAGTGGAAGTGAAAACTTCCCGTACAATGTACATTTACTGAATAAGAGGGAAGCAGCAGTGTTGGTGTTAGGGAGACAATGTTTAATGTATTCATGTGGTCACGTTCTATATGAGCTTCACTCTGTAGGTGGGCTTCAGAGAAAGCCATAAAAAGTTGATTGGCATAATTCAGAGTTTATTTATTTTTGGGATAAAATCAACGTGCTTAGGTCAAGGCTAAAGCAAAAGTTATAAACCAGGACACTTTATAAGACATTCTGAAGGTCAGAAATCTCGTTCTCTTTGGTTGAGGCTAGCAACTTTTTCAACCACATAGCCAATGAAGAGAGTTTGAAAGTCATCATTGCAACATAGGTTATTTGAGGGCTCGTGGTCCTTTTTCAGCCAGGCTGGTATTATGCTACCTTCAAGGAATAGTAAATCCCAGATCTCTGTGAACACTGCTGCTGGCCATGGGTTCTGACAAAATGCAGTATGTCCATAACAGATTTTTGTACATCTGTAGTTTACAGAGAGGCTCTGGCAAATTAGGCATAGATACAGATTTATTTGTATTCTTGTGATTCCACCTTTTGATGGAAGATCAAAAGACAAAGTGTATCGTCCTGATAGAGAAGGCAGACAGCTTCTCTCAGCTCTCAAATAATGAAGTTGTTTTGAGGGAGGACAGGACTTTGCATCACACTCTAAAAGCTTCATACATTGTAGGGAAAATTTCCTACTTCATTCTCTATTTTCTCCATTTCATTTCCTTTTCTGCTTCAAATAGGTTAAGACATTTCTCTCAAAGCAAGGAGGCAAGACACAGTTTATTCCAATGTTGTCCACACTGCAGTCATTTGAAAGGAGATGGGTTCCTGTAGTATGATTCCTGTAGGGTGCTCTGTGGTATTGTGGGCTTTTGTAAGTGGTAAATAAAATATGGTTCAACACCCGTGAACAGAATTCAGTTAATAGATATTGATAGGTTGGCTCTTGTGTTGTGCAAGTTTGTTAGTATTAAGATACATAGAAAATTAATAAGAAAAGAGAAAATATTCAGTATATTCTCACATGACTTAATTTGGTTTTAAATTATTCTCTACCTTACAAGTATCTGTTAATTCAGTAAGAATAATCAGAGAATTCCCAACCTGTAAATGGCTTGGTCCTGCTTCTAAAAAGCAATGACAGTATATATTCGTGAGTGGATGCTTAATTTCCTAAGAAAATAAAATATCAGACTGACTGCTGTGCCTCAAGGCAACAGAAATTCCTACAGTCCCCAGGAAGTAAACAACCTGATCCTACATCTAACAAAGTGCGAATGTCATTCTTGGTCTTAAAACAAAAACACACCAGAGTAAAAAAATATGGAGTAATGTGTTATAAAAATGATGGTGACAATCCTCTAAAAAGACAAATTATTCATATTAAAAAAAAACCCATCCAAACAAATGAAAATAAAACCAAACAAACAAACAAAAGCCAAAACAAACAAAACCCAATCAACCAACCAAAAGAACCCCCCCAAAACTAAAAAAAACCCCAACAAAACAAAAAACAAACAAAAACCAATCAAAGAAACAACAACAACAAAACCCACCAGAAAAAAAAGGCTTCGTTTTCAGTTTCCTGAATTATTTTATGAAGTGTTGACTTTATGTTTTACCTTGCCCAGTTTGTTATGTGCAGAAGTCATTGCAGGTTTTATTTTCACAATTTTACTGAAAGCATTTTTCAGGTTCCAAACCAGTGGTTAAAAGACTTTCTGGAAGGAAATTGATATGACTGATCCCATTCAATTTATGAAAGTCAGCAAATGACCCTTGGTTAAATTATTTTAGAAAAGAGAGAATTCTGAGACATTTTATTTTGCACAGTGTTCTGTTTCCCCCTACCATTCATTATAGCAGTTGTCAGACTGATGTCTCAATGAAAACGGTTATACCTTTACAAATAAGCTAAAAGTACAAAGACACACTAACACACTAGTCAGTCTGAAAGGAAACTAAGCAAGCAGATCAGTATTACCAGGGAAAAAGTATCTTTTTTAATGTGGCCATGAATATGAAACACAAGCTATTTAAACCCTGCTATCTGATTTCCAGAACTTCAGAATATTCTGAAAAGAGATATAGAAATCACTGAACACAGTAACTCTTCGGCATCAGTCTCTTTCTTACCATCTTACCAAGTAGCTGTCTCAGTGAGTATAATAACAGACAAAAGATTTTTTTTTTTCTTATTCTGGCATGAACAGGCTAAATGGATTTGCTGAACAGAAAATGCAGTCAGTCTGGGTTAGCTCAGTTAGCAAATTGTAGAAGCATTAAAAGTAAATGTAGGAGAACAGAGTCACAGATGCTAAGAGGCTTTAAATCTGTTAACCACTGATTTATTTCCTGGAAAACTCCCAACTGGTGTCTTAGCTTGCCTTCTGAAATAACAATTAAAAACATAATAATGGATATTAATTAAAATAAATCATCTTGCCTGAAATACCTTCCCTAAACCTGCTGCCTCTTTGAGCAGGAAACAGGAAGTTATGCATCTGTGCTTTCTCTTAACTTGGGGCTTGCTCTCTCCTGAAGCAAAAGGATATTACAGAGAGGGGGAAAAAAGCTCACCTGGGAAACACAGTAATTATCTTAATTTCCTCTCTGCTGTGTTCCTGGGACAGCCTTCAAAACGGGGCATGGTTGGAGAGGATAAGAGGTTCAGAGCTACGTTGGGAGTCTTTGTAAAAATTTGAATCTGCTCATAAACACTTGGAGCGCTCAGGAACAGCAGAAGCTCAAACGATGCTTGACTTCACCAAGTGTGACACCCTGAAGGGTACCACATGCCAACCTGGCACAAGGAGATAAAATTCAAAGCTGGCACATATATCAAACAACAAAAGTTCCTCATTAGGCAAAATGTGGATCTTCCATTACTACATCTGACTCATTCCTGGAAATGACCTCAAAAAAAGAGTTCAGATAGAAGGATCCTTTCAGCTAGTGTGTTACTCTGAGAACTGACTGTGAGATGTATATTTGTCTGCTGTTTTGTACCTGAGCCCAGAAGAGTCAGGGAACAGCCAGATGTAATTTGGAAATAGCTTTTGTAACAAGGGAAAAAACAGAATGAGGTAAAGAAAACAATGTGAAAATCAAGGGAAAATTATAAATCAAGAAAACTAGAACAGGTTTTCAGCCAGTCTCCATCCCCAGGCAGGTGCGCAAAAACAAAAGGTATGAAAAAACACATGGTACTGTAAGAAAAAGAATCACATCGAATTTATTTCTGGATTAAACTATTCTAAAATTCATTTTGTCAGAACATTGCATTGCAGGCTTACACACAAACACAAAAATAGTTCTTTTCTATTAATCCCATTAGCAAATTACCATATTGTCACTACACTGGTCCAGGGCTAAACAATGCTTTAGATTTCCTTCCACTGTTAAGTTCCCTTTGTCATGCAAGATCAAGTGTCTTTTCTTCAAATAATTCATTTGAATTCAGGGGAAGATTTACATTCAAGCAGTTAAGTAACTCTAGTCTATACTGTCCATTTAAGACACAGTATTTTTCCCATAGCTGGAATGGTTTTCCATAGCTTCTTGGTTTCATTCTGACCCAAAATATTGTTCTGAGTCCAGGTAACCTGCCAAAAAAGTATCCCTGAAACACCCAAGCTGTGAGCTCAGTTGAGTGCAAACACCTCTTTGGAATTCCCTAATGCTTTAAATGATCTGATCTAACAAATGAGCAGACAGAGTATGACAAATCAGGTTAGAAAATCTGAGTTTAAGTCTCATTTTTGACAAGTTATTAAACTTGTTAGCCATCAGTTTAGCCATGTTGTTACAAACAGACCACATACAAACCTTTCAAAATGGTATTTTCCTCTTCATGTTACATAAGAACACTTTGAAAACTAGTAAATTAATTGCTGTAATTAGAGCAATTATTTTGTTATAAAGAGTGCAAAAAAACAGGCAAAGAGACCTCTTCCTGGTTCCTTGTTAATTTCTGCTTTCATACCTACTTCAACATTTGTCTTATGTTTATCAAGTCTGGTTTAAGTTATAATTATCTTCAAGAGAAGGAATTACTGTCTTTTTTATCATTATTTATTAAATAGGACGTAAGTTCCTAGAAATATTTAAATTCTTTGTTGAAATAATAAATACGTCCATTGCTTTCTGCCATTGATATTACAAATGTTTAATTGTTACATTGATCCTAAAGATGTTTTCATTTTGTTTAGCAGAACTGTGGAGAGTGCAGGTTAAAACAGATGGAGATTCCCCAAAGCCACAAGAGTGTAAAAGGACCCTTGTGATTTATGGCTCAAAGGGAAAAAGTGATGAGCTTTTGCTTTCTCCACAAACCCCAGGATATGTGTGCTTTCTACCCAGAGCAACAGATGAATTCATTGTAAGTCATAAGTATACAGAATTACACAGAGCTTTTAATGGCAGTCCTCCCTAGCCTATACATTTTATATCATTTTGTATTTTTAGAAATATATATATATGTATGTAAGTAGAATGCTAGTTTGATGGGTACTAATGGTATAACTTTAGATTTTGGGTCATCTTCTGCTGGTAGTCCAGTTCTACTACATCCAGCTGCAGTGTTCTCTGAAACTTTCAAAGTGCATTTAAGGGCGCATATCATGGAGAAAAATGCTCCCGTTATTATCTTCACCAGCTCATCTTGCATTTTTTCTAATTCTCTAAAGAGTCCTGCATTGCATTTTGTACAAAAGGCAGCATACAGTTATTTGCAAATGCAGAAGATGAAGGACTGGGCAGTATTCTTGAGGAACAGAAGTAGGCTTTTCTTTCCTTTATTTTGGTCTTTGTAAAGCAGTATACACTCTGCCAAAATAGTTCTGTCTCTTAGGCCACCAGGCAGGGGACTTTTCTGGATAATCATATATCACTGGAGAATGTGTTCACGCATATCAAAGTGTGATGAACCCTGAAGCAATAGCATATATATCTGGCTGGTATTAAAATCAACCCTAACACAGTCGTGACTACCTGTCCACCTGTCATGCAACCTGCTGCTTTGAGAGGATTCATCTGAGGCATGTTTTTAATGTTCAAATTCTGTCCTGGCTTTCTAGGCTAAGTCACTACAAATTCTGTTGATTGGCATGAAATACAGCTTCTAGCCAGTCATGAGAGAAATAGCTTACAATTCAAGGCAGTTCTATAAAGCTCAGAAATACTTTTCAATGGCTGCAATAAACATTCTGAAAACAATGGCAAGTCTGCATTTAGAAAATGTTATCAAGGCTTCATTGTAATGTCCAGATCCACAGGAATGATCTGCATTTTTAATTTAAATAACAAGCTAAAGCAATTTAGGAACTTTACAGGGAGTAAATAAAAAGAAAAATGGCACATCTTAAGAAAGCAGCTGCTTATTGGAAAACAGACAGAAAACACACTGAACAAGGAAAGGAGTCATTGACATTAACTGAAGAGGTCAATAGAGGCAAAATCTGTCTATAGAGAAATCACACCAGCTGGCTGAATTTTGGCAAGTATCAATACATAAAGCAGACCTCTGCTACAGCCAACTTGCTGGTAATTTCCCAAATGTCATGTATTCCTTGTCAAGACTGCCTAATTTCAGTGACTGTGTATGATGCTGGGAGAAATTAATATTGCTATATGTCAGCCGTTGTTGTCCCTCGCAGTCTACTATCCTAGGTTTCATAGTACCATAACAATTGTACTGGGCTTCCACACCAGCAGCTTTCTAAATGCTTGTTCATACTTTGGATTAGCTTTGGGTTAGTGTCTATGTTTCCTCCTTAGCTATTTGTATTCTTGTTTTATATGAAGAAACAAATACTATTTGAGCATTGTTTACTGTGCATGAAATTTTGTCTCTTTGCCACATTGCTTACAGTGGTTTACAATTCTCGTGGCATTCTGAGGAAATTAGAATAGTGGGCCTGATATAAAGGAACATTTGGGGATTTACAGATATCTCCATAAATACCTTCATGTCTTCTCTTGGTGGTTCAGCTAATAAACCCAGTTTCGTTTTACTTTCATTTTCTTTGTTCTTACGAAGGTTGTTCAGAAGAATACAGAAGCTTTGCTCATGTTATCCCACTGTAGCAGCAGGTTGCAGGAGGCATGATATCACCAGGAGGACAAGCTATGAATTCAGTTTTCCAACAAGCAGAAGCAAATGAACTTTTAAACCCCTTCAAGATCCTGGACCTAGACAAATATCCTTAGTAATATAGCACAGTAAAAAGTACAACAGGTTATGTACTATATGCAGTTTATATTATCCTGAGATGTAAGTTTAAGTTTTATCTCAGGGGTATATTTATTGCACACTGAAGACAAGAAGGCATGTAATTCCTGATATTCCAGGTGCTCTCACACAGATATATGCACAGATGTGTATCATATTCAGGATGACTATTTGATCCAAAATATTTCTAACCAGCTCCTATGAAAGAACAGGTGCTTGCATGTAGGAAGCATAAAAAATAAATTAAAAGAGATAAAATAGCAGCATGCTGTTTCATACAGTTGTTGGGTTTCAGTGGTTTCAAGCACCTTTAGTACAGTGTGTGAGCTGCTTAAATAAGAATAAATTTAATTATAACTCTTTATTTCTAGTAAATAAATTCAGAAATAGTTGAATGTGTCAAAGTTGTTGATTCTGCTATTAGTTCAAACACTAAAGATAGCATGGCAAGGAACCATGCCATCTCCAGTGAAAAAGAGCTGGGAAAATGAAAGTAAACAGATAGTGCAGTAGAAGAGTAAACAGTAAACAGTAAGAGTAAAGAGTAAACAGTATTTACAGCTTTTTTCCTTGATATTCTGGTGATGATAGACATCAGTTGTTGAACTCATGTGGAATAAGAAAATTTGTAAAGTTTATATACTTTATATATGTTTCTGATGACTTACAGAGTAATCTTCTCAGAGCATGTCTTTAGAGAGTCCTAGTGTATCATGCCCATTCTATTATGCAGAGAATCATAAAATGCAAAGATACATCAACCGGCAGATCATGGGATTGGGATCCCTAAAACTACTGTCTGAAGCACTAGTACAGTTAGTATGAAATGAGCAACAGAGCTCTTCAAGTAGGTCTGTTCATAAATATTCAACAAATACAGAATATATTTTGTGTTAAGGGCTATGAGGCTGACAGGAAATCACATAATGCAATACTCCATGTGTTTTCCACAGTATGAAATTAAGCTCCAAACAAAAAAGCAGTAGGATTTCTGGACTTCCTGATAGAAAGCTGTTCAGCTGGATTTTAGGATGCTTTAACCACATCTTTTTAACTAGAATAATTTATGCACCCTTTTTTTAATTATTATTATTTTTCTAACAGGAAAGTAATAAAGAATTTAATTTAAATGTGCATCTAAACAGTAAATTTTACTGTTTATTTACAGCTTTAATTGCATCAGACATGATGTCATTGGAGAAGCCCTGTGTGAGTCAAAAAAGAAAAGCTTTAAAATATTATGAAATTCTCTAATCATCTTCATCAGTTACCTGTCTCTGAGAGCTTCAAAACTGCAGTGTCTTTGCCAGAACATTCTCTTAATCATAAGAGATATGCTTCTTCAACCATATAATGGAAAGAAATATTGTTATGTTTAGTGTAAGGCAAATTACACCCAATTCAGCTAAGTTTTCAAGTACTGAATATTACATTAAACTATTCAGAAGAAATAAAAGTGGAAAAATTAATTAGGAAATTCTAATATTGAATAAAAACCAAGGTAAAGTGTCCTCTTGTAAGCATTCTGCAAACTTAAAACTAGGATATTCACTGGATATATACTTTGTGCTGAATTATTTGTCTGTCTTTGATGTAACATGAAGAGCATGTTACATCAATTAATAGGCATTGATGGAGGGAAAAGCCAATTATGCGATCAAAGATAGGATATCATATTCCAAAGGAAAACTGATTGTATTAAATAGCTCAGAAAACCCTTACAAGAATGATACAATGGCAATGCTGCGTGGAGCTAACAGAAAGGCTAATAATGGCCAGAACTGGGGAGCCGGTGGGGAGGTGGTGGCAGAGGGGGACAACACCACACCTGTGAAAAGGGGTTAAATATCTAATACACTTAGTTGAAAATGGTGGTTAAATCCAAGCATCATAGACAGCATGATTACTAGTGCTTGTTGGTTCAAAGGCAGTCATGGAATTAATTGAAATTGTGATTCTAGAAACAAAATAGGAAATAGTGGATTTTAAATAGTCAGTCCTGTATTCAGATTTTTTTTCCTGTATAACTCATCTGTGCATTTCCTTCAAGGATTGTACAAGGATTGTAACATGTATTTATGCCCAGAGAACTGCAAATTTGGGTGGCAGAACACAAAGTAAAATGTAAAGTACAGCTTGCCCTGTCATATAAATATAAACAAGTTCTGTAATGTTGCAACTCCAGACCAGAGAGCTTTATGGAAGAAGTTGTGCATGGCATTTAAAGTCGCTGTGTGATACAACCATGAGGTCCATCTACACAGAAAAAAATCTGCAGGCAGTAACTTTATGAGTCAGTAGTCTGGTTCTGAAAGAGAAGCAGCAAAGATTTTGTTGCCTGCAAAGGGACCGTAGTTTAGATGGGTGAAGAACCTGTGCACTCTTCTCTCAATGAACCTAAATAATTCCTGTTAAATTTAATGAGATGAATGCATATTTTAGGAGGAATTTTGGCCATGTATTTCCCTTTGATGGCGCTACACTGGGGACTATGTCAAGAACCTTTGAGGATGAAGTAGATCCAAGAGGCATATCTCTCCTCAAATGTCCATTATAGTCTGGGGCAGCACTAAATTCTGTATACGTGATGGCATACAGACAGGCAGAGCAAGCTAGGCTTAGACAGATGACACGCCTGGTGCTGTCTTTCTCAGTGCAGAGCTCGGAGCTGTTGTAGAGACAGCGGTAGGAGTTCTTCCCTCGTCCTTTAAGAACTTGCATCTTGAAATCTTGTAGGAGTGGCATAGCAACCACTTATGACACTTAAGAAATTCAGACTTGAAGGGTTCTTTTAAGTTATGAGGTGCAATTCCTTCCTACCATAAACCTCAGTTCATATATTCTACATCATAAACAATTCTAGCTCCTGTGAGATGATTTTGGCAGATTTCTTTATTTTCTATTAACTGTTCCTCTTCATACTGTCATGTTTTGCTATTTCTTATTTGCATAACAGATATTAATGAGGGTGGCCAACTCTCTTCCAAAATGGTTTCTCCCTAATAAGTAGCTGGTAATTCCCTACACATATGTAGCTGCTGTGCAAAGGCACATGGACTAACTTTAAGCAAGCTAGGTAAGCAGTGAAGGGTTGTCAAGTTCAGAGCTCTGCTGAGAAGCAGAATGAATCAATCTATTATAAGGTCTGTATTCTGTCTTAGGAGACAGTCTGCTGGTAATGCTGCTGGTCCCAGGGCATGACTGTGTGAGAATAACTTCAGTTTCTTACTGTGGTGCCACTGGGGGCACAAAGGATTTATTTCCTGGCAACAGTTACCAAAGCTTATATTGTGATTAGTCTGGGAAAAAAACCCAACCAACCAAGCAATATGGGAGAAGAACAAGGCCACTGGCAACTCTTTCTATTTTGATCCTTTAAAAAATGTTACATTTTAAAATAACAGTTCTGTCTTGTTTCGCTTTAAAATTGCTTCCCACCCTGTCTTTCCTGTAGCTGCCCAGTGAAAGGCTGCAGCACTCCACTTCCAGGTGTTCAGAAGACTTACCATGCAGTGGTTAATGTCATGCCGATCATTAACACTTGGTGCAGTTTGGTCATCCCAGTTCCCAAGACCCTACGTTGAATTGTTTAACTAGATCTTGCAGAAACCCACAGTCAGCAGCCAGCTGTTGAGTTTCCCATATGCAGTATGGGAACATGGCTGTGCCATTCTACAGAGTTACTTCTGTAACATTTATGATTTACTTTTATGCAGAGATAGCTTTCCTCATTTCCAAAGAATTTGTTATAAAGTAATTTCATGTTCTAAATCCAACCATTTTGGAAAGGAGAATTTAGTTAAAACTTTCTAGGCTCATAGCAATTATCATTAATTTTAATACCTCACTTGGCTGCTGATATCAGAACCTTTAAGTTAATGCTCTCTTTACCCAGTAGGGTCAAAGCTTTACATGTTACCTTTTGTCTGAAGAACTTAAATGCATAGATAGATGTTTCTAATTTTAACCTTTGCTCACTCTAATGGTAGGGTACCATGCTTAAGATACTAACTAGGGAATGGAGAAAAATAAGGGAGACAATCTCATAGAATCATAGAATAGTTAGGGTTGGAAAGGACCTTAAGATCATTGAGTTCCAACCCCCTGTCATGGGCAGGGACAGCTCGCTCTAAACCATATTACCCAAGGCCTTGTCCAACCTGGCCTTGAACACTGCCAGGGATGAAGCATTCACAACCTCCCTGGACAGCCTATTCCAGTGCCTCACCACCCTAACAGGAAAGAATTTCCTCATATCCAATCTAAACTTCCCCTGTTTAACTTTTAACCCGTTAGTCCTTGTCCTATCACTACAGTCCCTAATGAAGAGTCCATCCCCAGCATCCCTATAGGCCCTCTTCAGATACTGGAAGGCTTCTATGAGGTCTCCACGCAGCCTTCTCTTCTCCAGGCTGAACAGCCCCAACTTTCTCAGCCAATCTTCATATGGGAGGTGCTCCAGTCCCCTGATCACCCTCGTGGCCCTCCTCTGGACTTGTTCCAACAGATCCATGTCCTTTTTATGTTGAGGACACCAGAACTGTACACAATACTCCAAGTGAGGTCTCACGAGAGCAGAATAAAGGGGCAGGATAACCTCCTTCAACCTGCTGGTCATGCTCCTTTTGATGCAGCCCAGGATACATACATTGTATGGTTCATGATCATACAATGAATAACAGAAGGATTGATTCTCTCATCACACTTAACACCAGCCTCCAATTCAGCTATCCCACTGATTAAAGCTAAGTTTAGGAATTCTACACTTCTCTGTAAGTTAATCAGTATGCTGACATTTCTCTCTTCCTCATATTTATTGCAGGTTGAGACTGGAGATCTGGGAGATGTATACAAGATTCGGGTCAGCTGTGACGATGTGCCATACTTTGAGGGCTGGCATTTGAAGACTTTTCGCTTAGAAGGGCTACATACAAAAAAAGAACTGAACTTTGACTGTAACTGTTGGCTCTCTCTTAACAGAGATGAGCTAGTGAAAGAATTCCCTGCAGTTAGAAAGGACCAGAAAACTTTACCAGGTAAAAAACACTGAGAAAATATAAAGAGTGTAAACTAACCTCTTGAAAAGAAATCAGTACCACAGATATAATATAGCACTTTGTCTGGATTTGATTTCTTCAGTGGCTCTATTGCAACTGTCTTCATATATGCACGGCAAAAGTGTTGACCACTTAAGAAATTGTAATCTTCCAGTTAAGCTGCATGTTGGTTTTCACTGTTGCTAAGTGTTCTGTGTGATTCTAGGGGTGCAAAATGAACAATATGCTTTTTAAAGATAAAGCACATGTTCAAGGAAGGGAAATGATTTGTGGTGGACTTACTATTTGCCTAGGGGGAGAAGGGGGAAGGGGAGAAGGGGGAGTGAGAGAACTAGCTGTGTGATTTTTCTGAATTACTGACTGGACTTAAACCAAGGAACTACTGAGCTTAGCTTATAACAGCTTCAGTTACTAACATAAGCATCAGAAATAAGCCTAAAACCCCCAGGTTTTTGTTTTTCCCTGAGGACAATTTTTTTGACCTGCTGAGAGTTTCAGAGTATATTCAAAGATGCCTTAGAATGTAAAGACTTATAGAATTACCGCATTTATTCAGAAAAGATGATAGCAGTTACACGTGAGACAAAATTGATTAGAGACACGACTGCTTTTCTAAACTAAAGTTGCAGAAGTTCTGGTCCATGAATACTTCAAAGCCATTCACAACCTTAAAAGAAACTACAGCATTATGTTATTTAAGTGTTCACTCAGCAGGACTGTACATTAAAAATTACATTTGAAAAATTTTGGTCATTCTTTTTGCATGACTATGAATATATGTGCAATTTAACGATCCTCCTTGGAAGAAAATCTAATCTGACTGTGTAGAACTGCATTTATGCAAGAGCACTGTAAAGGCAAAAAGTTTATAGTTCCTGTCATGCACCTTAATAAGTGCATTTTATAAATTTTTATACTTACATCTAATGAAGCACAGCATCTGGATGCATCTGTCTTTGCTATTCAAATTTGCATATACTTTACACGGTGTGTTATTTTTTGACCTGTGATAGTTATTACGTACTGCAAAGATAATTCAGTTTCTGACAGCCCTCCAAAACGTCAGATGAGTCCTTATTTTCCAGATCTTGCACAGTAAAAAGAATTGGACAGAATTTGTCTAGGTTTTAGTAGCTCTAAACTGTGTAAGTCTAAATTGTCCAAGTCCAATTTCTTTTGAATTTCAATGGTAAGTAATGGAACATCTTCATTGTGCTTAGAATGAAGAGATCAGATTCATAAAAATTAATCTATTGAAATCATTGTGTAGCAGATTTTTTGGCAGCTGCAGAAATAAAACCAAGCAGTAGTCTTACTAAATGCTCTGTGCTGCTGTTTTCTTTTAAGTACACTTTGTAGGTAATCAGTTTGATCTAAATTTTCTTTTCTTTTTGTACAGTCTATAAGTATGTTGTCTCTGTACATATTGGTGACCGCTGGGGAGCAGAAACTTTTGCAAATGTTTATATCAATCTCTATGGCAAAAGAGGGGACACGGGTGTGAGGAAACTTCATACGTCTTTATCAAAAGGAAGAAAATTCCAAAGGAATAAGGTAATAGCATAAAAATGCTGTTTCATCTGCTCAGGTGTTTGCAATGCATAATTGGAACTTAATGGCTTTTCAGAATGCATCTTGCTACAGGTGGGCAAGAATTTGCAAACACAATTTATCTTTCAGGTGTTGACAGTAGATCAGTGCCAGTATTATTTCCTGTGCAACAAGAACATCCATGTGTGACAATAAAGGCTCCACATAGGACATAGAAAGCAGATTGCTGGGGAGAAACTTTGTGATCATGCTTCTTACTTCTTCCATTCCAAATACAAGACAGCACAGGTAGCAAAGAATTAAAAATCAGTGATTCAAAGTAAGTTACAGAAATTGCTGTGAAACCTTTGCAGTCAATGGTATTTCTGTAGCAACAATCCCACATGAAACACTAACTTAATGTCCAGTCAGTAAGTTTAGACAAGAGAAAAGAATTCCAAGAGAATGCACATAAAACCAGGGTTTTTAGATGACCAATAAGATTTTTCTCTTGTGTAATAGGCTTTCCTAAGAGAGGTTCACTCACTGAACAATGAAGTCTGAAAAAGTTCACTATCAAGATGTGCGTTATCAAGCAGAATCTTTGATTTCTGTGAAATTATTTCACTAGGTAGAACCCATAACACTGGGCCATATACAGAAAACCTAGATTTTTTACAAAACAAGTAAGAATTTAATAGGGCATATAATTTCTTTCTTTGCATTTCACATTTTTCCCTATCTTGTTGTCTGTATTCTCACCCACTGATGCTGGTGTTTATTTCTCTTTTGTCTTACTCTGACTTTTCCATTCTGCTTCCCTTCCCATGTCCTGTCTTTTGCTTAAATTCTTCTCCACCTTTAACTTCCTCCCTTCTGTTTTCTCTTTTCCCCATTTGTGATTGCTGAAACGATTCATATTGTCTAAAGATCTAATGAAGTTACAGTGTGTGGTTAATGATGAATGTGGGATTCAATGTTAGGTATAATCAGTGTGTGCTTAGATTCAGAGGGGATGTTATATATTAAATATAAAAAAACCTCACACAAATTTTAAGCCTTCAGCTGAAACCAAGACTGTATTTTCCCTGAAGTTCAAGCATATTCAGTTCCACTTTAATTAAGTTTTCCCCTTTTTTTGCCTTTTTTTTTTGTTTTTTTTTTTTGTAGGTGGATTCATTTTTAGTGGAAGCTGTTTCTCTGAGTCAGTTGCAAAAAGTGGTCATAGGACATGATGGAGAAGGGTATGGGGCTGGCATGTACCTCAAGATGGTAACAGTCAAGGAATCACAAGACTCAGACAAAGAATGGGTCTTCCCATTGTGGAACTGGCTTGATACTCATCTGGGATTATGTGAGACTGTCTGTGAGATTGTGACAACTGGTAAGATCTTCTGCAAATAATGCATTCACATATATAAATTTGGCCGTAGCTCTTTCAGCTCTCTATAGTATTTTTCTTTCATTGAAAACATGAATTTTCAGTTTGATCTTACTGTTACAGCAAACCCACATCTGGTAAAGTCAAAGTGAATAAAATTCCATCCTGTCAATATATTGTCTATGGAATACTTGCCTTCCAAATTAAATGTAGCACACTGAAGTGAAAGCCCTCTACTCCATGCTTGTGAGACCCTACCTGGAGTACTGCATTCAGCTCTGGCCCTCCAACATAAGAAATACCTGTTGGAGTGAGTCCAGAGGAGGACCACAAAGACGACTAGGGGGCTGGAGCACCTTTCCTATGAATCCAGGCTGGGAGAGTTGGGCTTCTTCAGCCTGGAGAAGGCTGTGGGGAGACGGTTACAACAACCTTCCAGTTCCTAAAGGGGGTCTACAGGAAATCTGGAGAGGGACTTTTTACAAGGGCATGAAGTGACAGGAAAGGGGGGAATGGCTTTAAACTGAAAGAGGGTTTGTGCCCAATATAGATAGCAGTTATTCAGTAGTGTGTTGTTTCTGTGTTGCAGAGTACATTTTACTGAGCTGTTCCTTTCCATTAAATCATTTTCATTTTTCATACAATGGTTAAAACAGAATGAAAATGAAGGAAAACAACAATTAATGAAGAAAAAGGCAGGGAGATAATAATATTGATCTGATGATATGGCAAATATTTTTGTGTGTTTATTATAGGTTTATGTGTCAGCCTCACACTATTACAGTATGTATTATATAGCTAAGATCTAGTTACAAGCAGAGTTCATTAGTATTATACATTTTGCTTTAGGTCCCTACACACTACAGATGGCTGGTGCGTCTAAATGATAAATTAGTTTTATTAACATTGATTGCTTTTTTAAGAACAATTATTTAGAACTCTAAAAGGTGAGTGAATGTTCTTTTAGCAATTACTTCTGCACATGACAAGGAAAATACCAGGGCATCAATAAAATACCTCTGAAACTAAATTTTAAACACAGAATGAACATTAAGCTGTTAAATTCTTGGCGAAAATTATACTAAAGGTATTGATGTGTTAGTGAACTGCTGCTATAGATACAAGATAACCTGCAAATAAAGCTTTATTTATGTACTATAAAGGCTATGGTCCTGCTATATTATGCCATTCTGTCATCTTTCCTCTTTCTGTTTGATTAATTTTTACAGGTATAAGATTGACTTCCAGTCCTAAACTGCCTGAAATAAACCTGACGACCCCAGGTCTCTGGATAATGGACATCACTGGATCTGACTTGAGCAATGAAGATGATCCAGTATCCCTTTCTTTTATCTTCTATGGCAACCTGAGTCACAAAAAGTTGCCGCTTCAAGTTACAGGAAAAGCAATTCAAATCAAAGTAATTCAAACTTTCTCTATTGAAAGAAAAGCCTAAGAATCATGTAGCCAATAACACATTTAATTCTGAGATAAATTGTTTCTTTCAACTAAAATACCAAGCTGATTTTTAAGTCTTCTGTATAGTCTGGCACAGATTGTCATTTTTGTTTGTAGGTAGTAACACTGTCACTGGAGCAATGGGTTTTGAATAAGCAGATTCTCCCAGTGTCTCATACTGAGAATGCTTAATTCTCCTTCAAATTTATAGTTAATTGCACCATTTGTATATTACAAGTTGTAAGAAATTTTTCTAATACTGTTTGAAATTTTTCTAATAGTTTTTAAAATTTTTAAAGTAGACTGAATCTTTTGTTCCTGCAAATAGTCTGCTGAATCAGTGTAATATATACGAACATTGTGCCTGGTTCTGTGTATAAATTTCAGCAGTGACTGCCATCACTCGTTCCCTGAGATCAAACCTCAAGTATTCCACCTCCAAATTCACATTAGTAAATCAATTTTGTATTGATTAGAAAGGGGAAAAATAGTAGTTATAAATCTGCCCCAATTCTTTAACTACTGAAGTTTGTTCAACTACAGCTGTCAACCACATTTGGTCTGGCACAATTAGAATGAGATCCATTCATCTTCTCTTTCTCCTCACGCAGGATGAACTGGCAGATATTGGCTCAGTATACAAAGTTCAGGTAACTGGCCCTCATAGCGTGCTAAACCAGCCATGGCACTTGGATTTACTGCATATGAAGCACACAGGCACAAAGGAAGAAATGTATTTAGCTTTTGACTGCTGGTTCAACCCTAATGAAGACAAATGTGTGGAGCTGCCAGCTCTCTATGCAGATGAGGAGCCTTTGCCTGGTAAGCTAGGCCCTTTTTTGTTACTGGGGTCAGGATCTGTCACTGGAATACCAGTATATCTCTTCTGGGACTAAAATACTGTGTGAAGATTTCCACAAGAATTTTATATTAAGGAATGTAATGGTTTTGCGCATGCATTTATCACGAAAGAAAGCTGAGAAAACAGAAATTATTGGTATCAAGATAATGACAGATGCTATAACTGCTGACACCAAACATGGGATCCTGCTTCTTTCATGTTAGATGATGTTCCAGTTTTAGCTCTTGTTTATTTATTATCTCTTCAAATTAACACTATGTCAGCTGAAGATGTGTACAAAATGTAATCTACTGTGTGATATTGCCTAAATCTTCCTATTAAAAATGTATTTGACCTAGAAATAGTTATTTTTTTAAAGAATGAAAGAATTGCAAAGACACCCTCAAAACAGAGATAGAATTTTTGAAGTGTGTAATAGTTAGCCAGGAAAGAGATATCCAAGAATTTAAATTTCACTAGTGTTTTATTAATGTACATGAAAATTTATAGCACAGGAAGAAATATTTCTCAAAAATATATATGAAGTTGTATGTTGAATGTTTCATTCCTGTTAGTAACACATGTGAATTTTATGATCCCTGAGAGATAATAAATTTATTTCTGCCCATATTCCATGCCCCTCCACCCCACCCCCCACCCCCCCCCCGGAAAATGGAGCGGAACAACCAATTGCATACTGATATCTTGGTCACTAGCTATTTAAGAACAGGATTCCCATCTATCCAGCTCATTAAAATAAAGAGGATTGATGGGGATAGTAAAGATCACATATAGAAGCTTTTAGTGACAGTTAAGAGGTTTATTGCTAGAGGCTATAGTACAAAGATGTTCTGCTTAAACAGAAACTAATAGAAAAAGATGGAAGTGGCCCAGAAAAAGGAATAAAATATTCCATGTGAACTTTTGCACACTATTCTCTAAGGAGATTTTCCTAAATATTTCATCCCATTAAAAGCTGAAACTTGAGAAAATAAAACACTGGAGACTTTTTAAATCTCTGGGTTTGTGTGGGGTTTGCATAATTTTAAACAATTAATAACATTGCATTTATTTACTGAAAAAATCTTATGATTTTAGGGTTTTGATCTGTCAGATTCAAAACGACATTGGATGTAATATATACAGGATATGCAATCATGAATATTATAAATCTAGATCTTGGTAGAAAGCTCTATCTTCCCAATTTATTTATGAAAAAAAATGGGATAATTATAATTGTTCAGAAATATTCTGAAAATTTGAAACTGTGAAATACTTAACTACATGTAAAAAGTCCATAAATTCAAGTAAAAAAAACTTATAGACTACACCCATCAAAGCTTCTATTATTCTAAGAACCAAATGGAGATACTGTCTGTTAGTATTATGCTGATTTGTAAAGCAATTCAGTTTTGAGGTATATTACAAAATGAAGGTGTTTTTCTTAGAAAATGATGAAGAAATGGGTAGCATCTACTAGCCTAGGATGTTTTTCACAAATCAATTTGTGGAGTCTGGTGATCTACAACTGTAGATCTATTCTTTGTAGTCCCAGTACTAAATCAGTCTAAAATTTCTATCAGCCTCTTCTTTGTATTCCAGTTTCAATGCTAGAGACAAAAAACAATATTAAAAAAAAAGAATAATTTTCATGTGTTTACATTCATTATTGCTCTGAATGAGAGCAATGATGAGATAAATGAAAATGTTTATGGTTATGTCTTTAATTAATGTCTTGATAAAATAAATTGAAATAACGAAAGTTTTGAGAAATATTGATCATTGCAAAGCAAATTGCAGGTATATAACTCCATATAAAAAAAAGTAAATGTGAAAAACTAAGCATCCAAATATACAGTAACCGTTATTAATATAAACAGCAATTTTTATCAGTAATGTCAATTGCCTGGTTGTAATGAAGACCATACTAATATAATTACTTCTCTTCTAAACATAATGATTCCATAAGATTTATCATGGCAAAAATAACTACATATTCTAATTAATAATCTTCAGGATTTTATTAATTCAGTAATGATTATGTGCAGGACATAGATGTGTATATTAACACACAGACAAAGTCATCACACTCACAACAATTAACTGCTGTTAGACTCCATATTTCTTGATGATTTCTAGATAATTTCTTGATTTTTAGAATGTCATCATTTGTGACTGCAGTTGAAGGCATGCACCAGGAGTTATACAGCAATAGGTGCTTCTGAAATACGGCACCTTGTCCCATTTGCATTCTCACCTCTACTATCTTATCTTTCCAAGAACCTGACAAGCTATAGAGAAAAACAATAAGATAACAGGTCTTGAGAGCTCCAACACAAGAATTCATCTGATAGCTCATTTTCCCACTCCCCCCCCCCATCTTTTCTTACTGTTTCCCCCCATTGGAAAAATTACCTGCATTGCCTGGTTTCATTACAAAACTAAAATCACAACAGTGCAGAATGTTTAACTATACCTGACACTGAGAAAGGATGTGATTGTATCATTTAAACTCTTCACCCTTGAAAGGCTACTGAGAGTTCTGTGGGCAGACGTTACTGAATTATCACAATAAATGATATTTAAATATATAGTATGTAGTAAATTCCACAATAACAAAAAAGAGAAATTCAAAGCAACATCATCTTTAATTCATGTTCTTTTTTCCCTGCCTTTTAGTGAGCCCCATGATCACTTTGAGCTTTTAATTATAACTTTCATTTTAACATTATGTTGGTTTACATCTGAAATAGAGCTTTTATCAATAGGAGTAGGGAGAGACAAAGAATGGCAAGGTTGTACAGAATATCTTATTTTCATAGATTTTTATTTTTGGGGTATGCTGCTCATCTGATAGTCAGAATGGTCCCAAACTCACCCTAAGGCTTTTTACCCCATTTCCCAGTATCCTTTTTATGTTATGCTTTTCTTCACAGGAGTTACTTTGTACATTTTTGTTTCACTTACTTATATAGTGGAAGTTCTTTCTCTGATCCAAAACCTCTAAAATCAATGGGAAATGTTTGCTGTGACTAAAGTTCGATGTGACTACATTGAACTTTAAATTATGCATCAATGGATTCAGCAGATTCAGCAGAAAATACTGATTCAGAAAAAAAATTATGTATGTTTCTAACTTTCAGGTTTTATCTTTGATTACTACTTGTGTGATCAAACCTACGCTCACGATTAAATATATTAAAGATTCTGGACAAAAGCAGTAGAGATGATTGTGAGCACTGTAATTTCTAATCTATCTCACAAGTGGTCAGATCTGTAGACCAAATTCTTCTGATCTTATTCACGCAAGTAGCCTTTTGACTTCAATGAATCTGCTTTTATGACCAAGGTACGCAAGCAAGGCAACACTCTAGATGATTAATACAGAATCTTACCTTCATATCCTAACTCTGCTGAAACCAAATATTCCATTGGGCAAGAGTCAGCTTGACATCTCATGTACTTCCAACTATCTGGATCTCCCGTAAGAGAAATTGTGAGTAGCTACACTGACTTTAAAGTAGCTATGTTGTCTGTCACCTGGCAGTGCATATTTAACTGCCTTGAAGAAAGGGATGAGACATGTTAAGAGCCCTAGTCTAGGAAACCTCTTGGTTTGCTTCTTATCATGAAACATGAGCGATGCCATCAACTGCAAATACTTTTCCAGTTCTTGGTTTAAATAATGAAAAAGAAAAACAAAACCCAAAATAAAAATCCCATGGGAAGTCCCTGAAGGAAATAGTGCTGCAGTAAAGTTACTTTTCAGAAAACAGATATTTCTCACATGTCATCCCAACATAGTAAAAGATAAAGAGAAATGAAGACATTCTAGAAGTTCATTGCAATAAGCACAGCTTTATAAGCGCACCGATACAGCCCTTATTATTTAATGAATCCTTTTAGATATTAATTTTTCAATCAGTATGCAGAATCACCCTTTAGAACCCTTGTTCCAGTTATGCGACCTTTTTACTTTAGACACATAAAGAAATAGCTAAATAAGATGTCACAATATTTGAATTCAGGCTTTTTGATTATAGCACTCAATATGAATAGCACCAACTTGTGAAAAGAGCTGTAAGAAAAACTTAAAAATAAATAGCCTCAGAACACTACTATTTTTTTTTTTTTTTCGCTCGCTGTTTTCCTATCACCTACGCATGAAAATAAATGACAGTCTTAGCTTCTGGGTTCTAAGAATCATTCTAAATCCTACCAGAAATTTCTCATAATTATATCTTTTCAGAGGATGTAGAGATTGGTTAAATTGAGCCATTTCTATCTTAGAATAAATCTGACTGAAGAATAAAACTGTACTGAAAATATCAGATGTTTCCAGAATGTATACTTAGATATTTGTGTATCCTGTGATGCATTTTATACTGAAATATGTATTTCAGACTTGAATTATGTGTGTTTCAGTGCTCTCTGACTTGAACTGTTGATTGTAAGACTGAAAGTATTTTTTGGTTTCTCCTTGGTTTCATGTCTGTCTAAAGCACCATTTCCCTTCTTTGCACACGTGCTTTCCAGGAAAGCAGGCATACAACCAGAGAGTTCCCAGGCAGGGATAAGTGGCAGAGAGAGTTTGGAAGACTTTTTCTGGCATGTAATTGTCACATAGTCTAGATGTCTATGTCTGCTTTACTGTGCCAGTGATGAAGGTTGTGGGAGTTGGGGCTGAATAATTTGTAGTAGTCGAAAATAACTTAGGACTTGTAAAATGTTGGATTTTAAGGGTGCTCAGTTGTTAAAACAAGAAACAAAGTAATCAATCTTGAAGTTTGTGACAGAAAAGTTCAAGGGATCCTGTAAGCACTCCTGAATACATTCTTCGTATATGAGCACTGCTTATTACCTACTTTCCAAATATGAGTTTGCATTTTACAGTGGATAAAAATGTATGCTCCTTACAAAAAATATTAGGAAACCTGTTTTACAAACCTGTGCAAGATTATGTTTTTTTTTCTTAGTCCAAAGTAATAATGCTTATGGTTGGCATCAGAGGAACCTTGAGACCATCTAAGTTTAGACTCCTGAAGTCTTTATCCCTAGAGTATATGGGAACCCATCATAAGTGTTTTCTATAGCACCTGCCTTTCCCTGCTGACTACGTAAGGATCATAATTCTAGTTGTCTTGAATTCAGCAGTAGCAGTCATTTTTTTCTCCTTAGTACCTGGTGCAGTGCTGTGGTTTTGACTTTCAGCCTGGGAACAGCGCTGATAACACCGACGTTTTTAGTTACCGCTCAGATGTTTACTCTGACCAAGGACTTTGTGAGTTTCATGCTCTGCCAGGGAGGAGGGAAAGCCGGGAGGCAGCAGAGACAGGACACCTGACCCAAACTAACCAAAGAGGTATTCCATACCACAGCACATCATGCTCAGGAGGTAGAACTGGGGCAGTTACCCGGAAGGGCTAGATCACTGCTCGGTCAGGCTGGGTATTATCAGTTGGCGGGTGGTGAGTGGCTGTATTCTCTTCCCTTGTTATTTCCCTTATCATTATTATTACTGGTGGCAGCAGCAGTGGTTTGTGTTATACCTTAGTTACTGGACTGTTCTTAGCTCAACCCATGGGAGTTACATTCTTTTCGATTCTCCTCCCCATCTCTCCGGGAGCGGGGGGAGAGAAAAAAATGGGGGAGTGAGAGAGAGACTGTGTGGCTGATTTACGGCTGATGGGTTTAAGCCATTACACTAGTATACTCACCAAAGCTCGATTCCTAAAGTGACAGCACCAGTATTGTACAATGAACACAGATTCACAGATTTATTATTGTAATCCAACTAAGAGCAGACTTATAACACTAGGAGGAAAAAAAAGCCAAAATCCACAAAAAGCCCTTCATATTTTGTTCCCTGGTCTTCTCCTTAAAATTGTGCAAATAAGAATGAATATTTAGATTGTGATCTGCTTCTGTTTAAAAGTGTTTCCTTGTTCACTGTTTCCATGATGAACTCAGGACTAAAATAGATCATTTGAAAAGGGACCATAGGAGTTTTCCATGAAGTTTCTTTGGAATGCAGTCTGGTCTTATCATGTCACTCCCCTGTGAATTACATATGAAAGAGGCAAGGCACAGGTGCCATAGGTACCTTTTCTAATCTCTATATGATGATCACAGCTGAGAAAATAAGAAACGCTTTTCCTTAAACTCAAATTTCCCGTATCTGGTCTCTACTTGTGGGTTGTTATATAGTACACCGGAGGTTCTTTGAAGAACCATACAAAATGTGAGGAGGTTTTTCTATTTATGTAATAAAGCTGATGTTGAAAGAATTTTTAGTTAATTATTTCTGTTCCATATTAGCGTGTTTTAACTCAAGAGCACTGTAATGGCATTATGGTCTGACTGTAATAAGCTTGATAGTCCTGATGTTTTACTTCACTGGGTGATATTTTTAGGAGTTTAAAGCTTAAGACAATCAGGTCCCAACATTCTTCTAAACCACCCTAAAAGTATGAGCTCCCATTTCATTTCAAGGAGAAAACAGTAGACATAGAGAAAGAAAGAAACAAAGAAATATGAGTAAATAGAAAGCAGAACTTAGACTTTCCAAAGAGCATGTAAACATGAAGTATTTCTTAGAAAGAGATTTCCTACCCTGGGAGCCAGGGAGCAGTACATAGGAGATCCTTTCTCCCAAGCAGCAGCAAGTAGTGCTGATTTTCTGGGAATGGTAAATTGTGTCAGAGAAGAAGAAATCTGTTTTCTGCAGACTACCAAACAGGGAGTTTTGCAGCAGGGATGTTATCCTGGATTCATCAGTAGCAGTCATTTTTCTCCTTCTTAGTAGCTGGTGCAGTGCTGTGTTTTTGACTTTCAGCCTGGGAACAGCGCTGATAACACCGATGGTTTTAGTTACTGCTTAAATGTTTAGTCTGACCAAGTACTTCGTGAGTCTCATGCTCTGCCAGGGAGGAGGGGAAGTTGGGAGGAAGCAGAGATAGGACACCTGACCCAAACTAACCAAAGAAGTATTCCATACCACAGCACGTGATGCCCAGGATGTAACTGAGACTTACCTGGAAGGGCTAGGGGACTGCGGAGTTCAACGAGGTATCCGGCGGTGCTCGGTCAGGTGGGGTGGGGTGAGTTATTGGTCAGCTGGTGCCAATTTGTTGTATTCTCTTCCCTTGTTATTTCCTTTATCGTTATTATTATTGGTGGCAGCAGTAGTGATTTGTGTTATACCTTAGTTACTAAACTGTTCTTATCTCAACCCGTGGGAGTTGCATTCTTTTGATTCTCCTTTCCATACCTCCAGGAGCAGGGGGAGGGCAAGAAGGCAGGGGGAGTGAGTGAACGAGCTGCATGGCTGGGTTTCAACCACGACAGATGTGTTTTGGATAGGTATGTCACCAGGACTGAAGAAACCTGTATTCTTTGTTCTGTGGCACAGTGTGGGATTCAGATGAAATTGGCAATTGTTTATGCCATTGACATTGGTACATCATGCAGGTTTTGGGCAAGGATGACGACTTTTTTCTTTTTGCATCTGTATTTTTTCTGAAGTTGTAGAATATGCAGTCCATTTGCACACAGGAGACTTGAAGAAAGCGGATGCAACTGGTGAGGCATATCTATGTATGCAAGGAGAAAAAAGCAACTCGGGGAAACGATGGCTTAACTCGAGAAACAGCGTGATCACTTTTGCTAGAGGGCAGGTAAAACAATGAGAAAAAATGTATCTGAATCTCTGACTGTCTTTTTGGTAAAACTTTTGTTTACATAGAGCTTTTCATGGACAGAATATAAAAAATACCTATGTTTTATGTTCCATATAGACATAATTTGCTCTTGTAACTAAGAGGTGATTGTCTCCATAGGTAATGTGTTGCTTTTAAACATCATCAGCATTGTGCAACAGTGAAAGAGTTAAGCTGATGAAATAATTTTGAATTGGACTAAATATACAGTAAAAGTTCTATTTTAATATTCCAGAGTTTTAAGGCCAGGGATGTGTCAGGGCTTTATGAAAGCACTGTTAATATTTCTCTAGGATATCTTGCCTCTTTACCTACTTTAGACCATGACTTTTTCTTATTAACTTTCCTGAATAATAATGTCAGTGTTCCATGCAGAAGTTTTTGTTGGGTTTGGTTTTTTTTTCATGTTTCAAGTCTTGTGCTCATTTTAACTTTTGAACATCACAATCATATTCTTGTTTTTTGAAGCTTAAAGAGCTTTTCCTAGAAGAGTAATTCCTGGAGTAGTTATTGCCATAAGAACAAAGTACTAAAACAAATTTCAGTTCAGAGGAAATATCTATTTCATATCAAAAGGAGTTGTCTAGCTTATACTTTACTGGACCCTACTGTTTGCTCTGAGTTTAGGTTTGGGGTACTTTTTGTTTTAAAGGAATCATAAAATCATAGCAAAGTATATAGGAATCGTCTTTTGGAGAGACTGCCTACTTTTCATTGCTGACAGCCAACCCTGATTGGTTTGTTCTCTGATGTAGAAATCTAGAAAAATCTGCTTGAAATATGCTTCACTTATTCTATAATCATGCTTCTGTTTATTTTATTTGCTTTTCACTTCTAAAGGCTCTAGAAGACACAATGTTTTTTATATGAAAACCAAACTAAATCTTTGTTATTCGCTATGTCCTCTGTAGTCCTTTATTTTCTTTCTCTATTATGGAAGAGAATATGCATGCCCAATGTCATATTTGTCAAGAACAGATCAAACTGCTAGCTCAGACTTCACAAAATAATGACAGAATAATAGCACTTGTGGGTTTAAAGAGTAATGTAGGAAATTTTATAGATTGATCTTTTTGGTGATATATATAAAATAGTTACATATAGTATATCTTAAAGATAAGAAAATAAAGACTTTACTTTGCAAAAATGTATGTTAAATTATTTAGGAATAAAACTTGTAGAGAAAAATATGTGTACAATATAACTGACCTCTGTGAATACTTACTCCAGTGGAAATATAACTCATCTGCAAATTCAGAAGGACTTTTTTTTGTATAATCCAGATTTTGTGTCAGTTTTTTAATAGGCCTGTTCAGGAAGCTAAATCCTTCATCTGAAACTCAAAGGGCTTTTCTATACCCTGGGTTATAGCACCTTAATCTTTTTCTTATAGATAAAATTTTGTGTAGCAATTGTTTGGATGTTCATTCTCTCCCAGTTTTCTTTGCCTCAACTGGTCCTCAAATGCCTAATCATCTGCTCCTAGTCTTTGTTCTTTTCTTCTAGCTGACTCTTGTAGTAAATATGGTTTTTACTGGTAGCATGATTTTTTTTTGTACGTCATTGTACTTGGCAGCAACTATGGAAAACTATGCAAGAGAGTTTTTTGTTTGTTTTCAAAGCCCCAAATAAGCCTGCAACTTTTGTCTTCAAGTTGCATTTTTGATTTAACCTTTCCAAGACAAATTCTTTTGTCTGCAACAAGATAGCTTATAAAATCACAGGAAATAAAACAGTCTTACTTGTGGAGATTTTATTCTGCAGATGGTTTCCCAAAAAAGTAGATGAATCCTTTCATGAATAGTATGTTTCAAAACCTCATTTCTTCAGGCCCAGTTCAAAAAGGTCAACAAATACACACATTAAACAATGTGTGTTCTCAGTGTCAGTATGCATACTTATGTACGATTAATCCCATTAATTAAAAAGGAAGATGAGCGCACAAAGAAGACAAACATGCATATGGCAGAATATGAATATGCTACAAAGATTTCCATTAGAGAAAAAAAAGAAACATTCCCTGAGGTCTATTCATCATTCAAGTCTGCTGTATGGGGAAAAATTTACCTCTTATAGAGTTAGCTTAAATGAAAAATCCCCATTCCAATAGCACAGTGATTGAAATCTTCCCAGCTACTGTTCCCTTCATTCCCATTTACATGCCTAATTCCACTAAATTAACCGTGAATTTTAGTGAACATTAAATTGCTTCAGGTTTTCAGAATTATTTGACCCTTACTATTTGTCAGTTTCATTGGGAATTAGGTTCTGGATCAAAACTTTCAACACAAGGAGTAATTGATCTGATTTGGTTATTTCAGCCCATGAAGGTACTAGAAATGAACTCTTTACTGCTAATGTGGGTGTCTGATGTTTCCAAAATTACTTCCTTTTAAATATAGCAGCATTTTGACATTCATAATTCATAATATTAAATGGATCAGAAAATATCAGCTATAGCATGCAATGTTTAATTATGAAATTCAAAGTCAATGGAATGGCATAAATGAGATAAATTTGCTTCCATTGAGATACAAAACAATGACCAGACACACAAGGCTAAACTGATAAATATTCAAATACAGTGTTGTGGTTCAAGCCCATCTGGCAACTAAGTGCTACCCAGGTGCTCACTAACTTGCCCCCTCCACAGTGGGGTGGAGAAGAGAATTAGAAAACAAGTAAAACCCCATGAGTTAAGAATGGTTTAATTATTGAAATAAAAGTAAATTATACTAATATAAAAATAATAATAGGAAATAGAGAGGAAGGCATAATGCCTGGATCAGGTGTCTTGGCTGCGTTCCCTCCTGGCTTCTTGTGCTCCTCCTTATTGACAGAGCATGAGAGACTAAAAAGTCCTTGACTTAGAGTAAGAATTACTTAGCAACAACTATAACATTGATGTGCTATCAGCATTGTTCCCAGACTAAAGCCAAAACACAGCACTGCACCAGCTACTAGGGACAAAATTAACTCCATCCCAACTGAAAGCAAATACATATTAAATTTAACTAAAATATGATTTTGATTATTTTCATATTGCAGGTGGATATTTTCAAAATCAAAGCAGTAAATCTCGGCAAGCTGAACCAAGTTCTTGTTGGATTTAAGAGTCTGAAAAAAGGTCAGCAATGTTTTTCAGTTAATGTAGGGTAATAATAATGTAGATTACCATACTTAGGAGATCCTAGAGCCTCAAAAATGTCTTAAATTTAAGATTAAAAATCAGAAGTGTTTTTTTAGAAGTCTTAGAAAATTTGAAGTTTATATCTATTTTATGCTGTTCATTATTTCTGTTGAATTATATGCATCAAGTATCCAACTGGTTTTACTAAAATGTGCAAAGGATTCTTAGGAGATGTAACAATATAAAATGATGTGTGAAACTTTTCCTCATGAAAGTTACTATACACTTATGACTACAGTCAACAAAGTTTTTGTTTTTTTTTTTTCACAAAGCAATATAGCATCATGCTTTTGCAATTTTTGACATTTTTTCGTCCTCTTTATTTTTAGATGATGGACATTTTCATTTTAAAAGATTTTTTTTAGGATTCAATGCTTCTACATAAAGATAAGAGAAAGTCAGCTCATCAGAATGGTAGTGGAACATAGAATAGTTAGAATCATAGAATAGTTAGGGTAGGAAAGGACCTTAAGATCATCAAGTTCCAACCCTCCTGCCATGGGCAGGGACACCTCACACTAAACCATATCATTCAAGGCTTCGTCCAACCTGGCCTTGAGCACTGCCAGGGATGGAGCATTCACAGACTCCTGGGCAACCTATTCCAGTGCATCACCACCCTAACAGGAAAGAATTTCCTCCTTATATCCAATCTAAACTTCCCCTGTTTAAGTTTTAACCCATTACCCCTTGTCCTATCACTACAGTCCCTAATGAAGAGTCCCTCCCCAGTATCCTTACAGGCCCCCTTCAGGTACTGGAAGGCTGCTATGAGGTCTCCATGCAGGCTTCTCTTCTCCAGGCTGAACAGCCCCAACTTTCTCAGCCAGTCTTCATATGGGAGGTGCTCCGGTCCCCTGATCATTCTTGTGGCCCTCCTCTGGACTTGTTCCAACAGTTCCATGTCCTTTTTATGTTGAGGACACCAGAACTGCACACACTCCAAGTGAGGTCTCACGAGAGCAGAGTAAAGGGGCAGGATCACTTCCTTCTACCTGATGCTCACACTCCTTTTGATGCAGCCCAGGATACGGTTGGCTTTCTGGGCTGCAAGCGCTCACTGCTGGCTCATGTTCATTTTCTCATCGACCAACACCCCCAAGTCCTTCTCTGCAGGGCTGCTCTGAATCTCTTCTAACATGGAAGAAATGGCCTCATAGCTTGTTTTTTTCTTCTAACTCATGAGAAATATATTCTTTTTAAGGGATTGTTCATACGTGAGGTTGAGTGACAGATAAAAAGGCTGCACTTCCTGCAGTATTTTTTCTTGTCTTCCTTCCAACTCCACAGCAGCTACTGGAGTTAAAGAAAATTGCTCACTTCTTAAAAATAAAAAAGCAACAGCAAAAAGCATCATGAATCAATATTTTCTTTAATTCTTTGGCTACAATTATGGCCTATTGTTTTTTTAAAGGTAACAGAGCAGAGATTCTGCAGATATCCTACTTCTGCAGATATCCTACTCCTGCAGATAACGTAGATGATTGAAAATGATAAGATTATTCCAGCGCATGATAAACTGAGTCTCTTGTTCTTTTATCTTTATCAGTAAAACAAGACTATAAGAAGACTCTGTAGGTTAAACTAAGAAAATCTGATTTGGAGGGTATTTCCCATTTATTTCCTAGATGGCAACTTTAGAATGAATGGCAAGATTTTCATTGACTTCTCCAAGGCTTGGAGTATAACCAAGTTTACCAAGACTAAAAAAGACCTGAGACTTCAAATGCTTTGTTTGCCGATAGATAACCAAAACAATGGTCTCAATCAAGAGAAAACCTTCAGCTGTGCTTATCTGACACACCAGAAAGAAAGTTGTGTGTTGAGTGGATTTTCTGATCCTTTTTCCTTTAGGACATTGATAATAAAATTTCCTATGAGGGACTTCTTGTATCTAGGAGTCTCACACAGATGCCTTTCCATCCATTTGGACAATAATAGGTCATTAAATCAAACCTATCCCTATGTTCAATTTCACAAGATCTGTAAAAACTTTAAGACTTCACTTTGTCTAATATTTTGGAGCATAGGGAAACAAAGAAAAACACATATACACACAGCCAATATATTTTCAAGAGTCTTATTTCTACAAGAAGTTTGACAAAAAAAAATTTTATTGATTTTCTAAAGATAGAAAATTCTGACTGCATACACAGAACATTTTGTTGCTTAAAAGGTATTCATTAATAATGCCTTGTTTATTTTCAATCAGATGAGTGGTTCCTGGAGAAAATTGTTATAAAAGAAGTTTTCTACCCTTTTTCTGCACATATTTTTGTTCACAATGACTGGATAAATAAACGCTCCAAGAAAGATTTTGTAGAAGTGGCAATTCCACTCAAAGGTAATACCAGCAGAAATGTCCTTCTTCTGCATGAATCACTACTGCACAGCAGAGCAGGCCAGAACCAGCACAAGGCTACTTCACAATGTATGCAGAACTGAACATTGGTACGCCAGCGGTGATGGGCAGGGGCCTGGACCAAGGTGAATCATGCCTTCTATAAATAAAAAGGAAGAAATTATGCCTGAGATGCAGAATATGGAAATGAACTGTAGTACTGAAAGAGCCCCCTCTGACAGCATGTATCCAATCCTTAGAATAATACAGAGAAGATAGACATGGCTTATGCACGAGTGTGACATGGGTTCATGAAGCAGCTGGCTTGGTTTTCTACACCTCCATTGGGCTAAAATGAGTCATGAGGGGTTTGCAGTTTTGTTGCCTGATTTGCTTGTGCTAGATCCAGAGGTACCAGGCAATGTAATCTTGTATCTTTTGGGTTATATTGCCTTTTAACTTAGACATGGATCTGAATGTATGTCTGTTTTCCTTGCAGAAACATCTGTCACACCTCTGCTCATGAAAAATTTTGATACCAAAAGCAGGGGACGATGGCAAACTTGGGTGCACTGCACACAACTACCAGAAAATGTTCCTGATATTCAAGCTGTTGTATTTGGAAGAAAAGGGAAATCCGCTGCACAGAAAGTTCAGAATCTGAATGATAGTCCATTTTTGGTCAGTTTCTTTTTTATTTCACACAAATCTCATGAAACAGTTTCAATAACAGTTGCAGTCAATGTACGTGAAGTTGTGTGGAATGATTTTTTGTTTGTCAAAGTTAATGTTTATACTTCCATGTCTTAAATAAACAGAACTTGGAGATCTCAGATGTGGGCTAATACATATCACTTATGAAAGCTCTCTTGAGGAAATGCCAACTTTGACATGGAAAGCCTCATTAACTTTGAATTAAGACTAGTAGGCCTCAACAGTAAGGCAATAAATAATAAATCTATTCCACACTTCCTTTATGTTCTGCTTCTCAGACCTCAACTAATCCGTTTTCACTACTTAGAAGCTGCCCCTCTTTACAATGAGCTTGGGCCTGGGCAAATATCTGTTCTGTAGTTTGCACATGAAATTCATGACAGCTTCTGGACAGGTGTGTGAACCTTGGTCACGATTTCAAAAGGTTTTTATTCTTAAACATGGAAAAAAAAGTCATCATCCAGCTTTTGCAGAAAGGCAATATGAACCTCTCTTGCTCAACTGCTGCAAGATGAAAAGCTACAAGCAGAAGTGTATGATACAACTTGTGGAAGCCAGCCATCCTTTCTTTTGATCACTAAAGTAACTGAGAACAGAACCAATAGCCAGGGTTAAAAATCATCTTGTGTTCAAAATTTCAGTTCAAGTTTGAGAATAAAGATGTGATGGAGAGGAGATAAATAGGAAATTGACAGAAAAGAATAGTAACGTGTTTTGGTTTGGAAATACAGAATCAGTCATACATTTCCTTGCTTCTCATATGTTGGCCTAGTCTCTGCAGCCAATTCTCGCTGTTAATAATAAACATAAATTATGATACAAATGGGAGTTCAAATTAACTTGCAATCTTAATGGAACTTCCCCACCTTAATATTAATGTCCCTGACTAGTATTTTTACTTACTTTACTTGTCTTTTTACCTGAGCTTAAAGTGTGTCATGCAGATTCTTACATACCTTTTTTTTTTTCCTTTATTTTTCTAACAGTTGACTGTTGGCGATATTGGAGATATAATAAAAGTTTCCTTTGTGTTATCTGGTCCGTGCTTGGAAAGAGGAATTAAACTTCATAAGGTATGCTAAATACACTACATATAAACTTGTAATATTCTTCATAATACCAGTGAATATTGTTGAGAGACAGTTGTTAGTTTTGAGGCACACTAACAAGGCATCTTTTGGCTCACTTACCTGTTATCTACAGATGATTGCTGACAGTTTCCAGATCTCTTTGTGGGCAGATCTACCTTGTTTGCACCTGCTGAAGTGCATATAGCTATGCCTATTTACTGATGTGCAGATCCCTTCTGCATAGCTTATCATGACATGGAAGGCAATATTTTCTGCTGATGTTAAGAGATGTTAATCTCTGCACGGAAATACCAGCAGTCTCCTGACACAGAGCAACTTGCTCGTGGAAACTGATTAAGCTGATCCTTTAGTATTTCTTCATTGCAACACAGTTATCAGTGGGCCTTAAACATCTGATTGTAGTTTACTATGTACTTAGGCTCTCTTATAAAAAGGGTTGGAGAAATGAATTAATGCTGTCAATCTTTATAATTCAACTAGATTTTAAATGTCTACCTTTCCCCAGCGTAGGTAGAAAGATTGAATATAAGGTGGGCCTGATAATACTTGGGCTTTGGGGAACTACTTAAACTTGAAGGTTTAATGCAAAGAAGAACTGTGTCAATGAGCTCTGCCTATAGGTAAGAGCCAAAAACACTGTGGACGTAGCACTGAATTATTCAAAAGTCAGTATAAGAATGTTCTTCTGAACTGGGCCACACAGTACCTTAAGCGTGTTATGGATTTAAAAGATCAAAAGGTGATTCTCTAAATGAATAAACAATCCTGAAACTGTTCCTATGGCAAATGCTAGAGACAGCTGTGTTCCATTCTAGAATGTATGGGTTTATGGTACTCAGAAGAACATTAAGTCTGGGTTTATGAGCATTAAGAATTGAGGGGAAGTTTATCTCGTTCGTATTTTCTTCCCAGATGTGTTCTTTGTCAGCTAATTTTGTAGTCTCAGATTAGACTACACGTATGGAAAGAACAGGTGACAAAAATGATTTTTTTTTGTTTTAAATGCGCATCTCCAGGCCATTTGTCAAAGCATCCAACATGTTGACGCTACCCTCGATATATCCATTGTATGATTATGTAATATATGATTTTAGACTCAGGAACTGGTGACTCAAAACAAGGCAGAAAATTCATAAATATAATAGTTTGCTTTCGGCTTTCTTTTCAGAGATAACCCTCTGCAAATGGCTGTTTTTAGTTTATGCTTTTACATACTTTAAAAGTTATTTAATAATTGGTTTAGTAGTAGCTATAAAGTGTTGCAAACTACAAGAAGTCAAGGGGTTGCTATAGACCTGTGTAGTCTCTTCTACTGATGCACTTACAACCCACAACGACATAAGCCACAATAACATATACTGCTTGTGCCAGCAATATGCTTATAACAGCTATTACTCATTTATTAGCCTGTTTATACATTATTTATACATGGAAGCAAAATCTAAAATGCAACAAGTTGGTTTTGCTTTAATAGGACACTTACAGTTCAGTAAAAAGAAAGAGATGATGTATAGAAATAGAAAGACTACAATAGGCAGAGACTATGTGTAAGCTCACTATGAATCAGTGGTCAGAGCCAGCCTCAATTGAAAATTCCCTTCCTTGCCTTCTCCTTAGGTGAAAGAGGTAATAACCAAAGTTTCAGAAATTTCAGAAAAATACAGATTACAGATGAAACTGCAAAGGCTAAAAGGGAAATAAAATCATTACATTCCTTTTGCCACTCCCCATTTTCTCTATTTTGGTGTTTACAGCAACTTCAGAGTACGGAAGTTTTTCCTGTTAATCTCCTATGGTTTTCTGCACACTTCTGTAGAAAATAATGTAACCTGAGCTAAAATTATATCTCTTCTGTAACTTTTGAAGATTGTGTACCATAGAATGAGTTGTTTTTTCTTGCTTAAAAGTAGTTTCTGGCCCTTTCCAAGATAAAATACAAAAAAAAAATTATACTTTCATATAGAATATAGAAACACTAAATGATTTGGAGATGAAATTTGCATTTAGATGTTATCTTACAACTAACAAGAGTTTCTCAGGCATATTTTATTTTAAGACCAAAGTCTGCATAAATTTACATGTCATTTTATAAGTCCAGTTTCTACAGGTCATCTGCCTGCATATGAATGTAAACCTTAGTCCAATTTTAGTGCAGATAAGAGTTTGTGATACTTGCTGATATTTAGGTAAGGAAGTTTATATTGACAGATGTTAGGGAGGATATTTTTGTACGAGAAGAAGTTAGACATTTAGTGTGAGAAAATTCAGTTACTGAAAGTGAAAAAAGGATAAAAAACTGGTTATAATTTTAGTGGAATTTAATACTATTAAAGAAAAACACTGTTTATTCAGCAACTAATGGTTTAATTCTGAAAATAGTCATGGGGAAATTTTTACTTTCATATGAAAGCCTTGTGCCTGCTCTTGTGAACCCCTGGCCACAAAACATGAGCAGCAATGGAGAATGCCTAGTCATTGCATTTATAGGAAATCAAAGGCAAGATAGTCAAAATTTCAAGAGTGAAACTGTCAAATTCCTAATAATTTCAATTACCTAGTTATATAAATACTTATGCAGTTCAGAGCTTGCATTTGGAGTTTATGCAAGGAAATCCATACTCAGGATTTCCAAGCAGCGGTATGTGTTTCCTCTGCAATGAGGCACAGACTTTTGCTCCTGGCACTAGTGTTAGTAGTGGTAGTAAGTTACCACAGTGATTTTGCAGTCCCTGCTTAAGGATTTTAGTTAATTAATGTCTTGATGAAATTAAGGTTTTATTTCAATTTGATTTCTTTTTAATGTCTTGGGTAAAATATTACTACACAAGGAGATTCTAAAGGCTGAAGAAATAATTTCTGCAGACTTGTAGTCATTAGCATGTATCAGGTTCAATCCTGCATGCAATAGTTACCAGAAATGTTTCTGCATATGTTTGATAGCTTGTTATTCTGTATTTTATATCCTGACCTAGTATAAAGTTCACAACCTGAGGTGCCCTCTGGTGAATCTGATCCTCACTTTGACTGTCTCAGTAGCTAGGATAGTTAGGTTCCCAAGGCAGTTGGCTTAAAGATTCTAAGTTCACATATTTGGAGCCTAATTTGTTTAGTCTCCACTGAATATTTTAGGTCAGGTGGAATGAAGCTGGGCCTAAACTGACACCTTGTATTGGAATTCATTTTTCACATAACTTATTTCCACAGAGCCCTGAAGGCCACTGGACACCTAATTTCTGCCAACTTTGAAAATCCTAGCTGATATATAGCAACTCACATGTAAACAAATAAAAAGCAGCAAAACAAATGTTTTTGCAAAATGGGCATATGCTATTATGATTGATGTAACTGTATTCATTTGACATTCTGAAATTGCGAGTATATATGGGTCAATTTAATCTATATCCTTCACTGGTTCTTTACAAATAGGTCCTATGCCTGTGCCAATATGCGATGACGAATATACCTATAAATATCAGGCTGCAGAATCAGTGGCTTGCAGCAACTGCTGTAGCTATTTTGCAGGATCACGGAGCTTTAATAAAGTGTTTGCAGGTGTTAATAATTGGAAGAAATGTCTGTTTCTGTTGGGATGGAAATAAGAAATGAAATGATTCACATAAATTATTTTTCTACTGATTCTGCTTGCAGCTTCTGCTGAAAGACCTGGATACTAAACAAGAGCTGGGCTTTCACAGCAAAGCCCAGTATCTGTTTGGAGAAGGTGGATCTGAGACTGTGGCAGAACTAGCGGCAGTCAGACCAGACAAGCCACCACTCAGGGGTATGCTGCTGAGCTAAAAATATTAAATAGATAAGCAAATGCACGCACACACACAGAGTTGTGAACTGCTTAATGGAATTAACACAGTGGGCAAGACTGCAAAGAATTTTATATATATTAATTAAAAGCTACTCAAAATTGTTTTTAAAAAATTCATTCAATATACCTGCGTAATCTGTGGGGTCTTTAATAATGGGCATTGCTTGTGCATTTTTTCTCTTTTAAAGCAACTGTAATGCATTGTTTTCACTAGGATAAGTAGCAATATGGAAGCCTGAAAAATGCACAAAGCTCAGTTAGTACATTCCCACTGAAATATTTTAAAAACATCTGGTTTAGACTCAGTGAAGGACTAAATCAGTTTTAAAAAAGGATGTGCAAAGTCATAATGGCATGAATCAAAAAAAGGATAAAGAGTATTTTTTGAGGTTTTCTTCAAGCCCTACTTCTGCCCCAGAAGCTCTGTTTCATTTCATCATTGTATTCAAAATATAGCATCTTCCTTTGTTCGGATTACATTCGATAAAATATTTAGAAAAGAATTCTCATTCATTATACTCTATGAACAGAAGCCTTGGTTAAAATATTAAAAACTTTTTGCATTTAATATCTGACTGAAGGCTAGACTGCAAATGGAAATATATCTGAACTGTCTGTTATAACATTTAATTCTTCATAGGCCTTACAGAAACCATAAAAAAAACACCAAACCTCTATCATGCTGCCTCAAGGAATATGTACCATACAACTCATCAGCCAAAAGTCATGGCAAGCCATCCTTTGCAGTGAAGAGTAGTAATAACAATGCATATCTGTGTAAATTGCTGAGGCATTCGTTAATATTGGCCATAATTATCAAAATGTGAGACTAAACCAGAATTCAGCTGATCCAGAACAAAAAAAGCACATTTCATCTGTTAAATCTGTGCTTTTTTCTTTGGTAAAACATTGTTAGAGTTGATATATCTTAACTCATATTATGACCTTTCAATCCTACGTGAATTCAAAGCTTTTGACAAAGCCTGATAAAATCAGTGTGATTCTTTCTTTCAGCTGGTTCCAGTGACCAGTGGACAAGTCTCTAGTACATTTTCTTTTTCTGTAATGTAAGCATGGATCATTCCATTGATTCATAAAAGTCATTTACTTTATAATGCTATACTTTGCTGTTGTGAGTTAGCTAGCAATCTATATGAAACTCAGGCAGAACATTAATGTCAATTACTATAACTTCATTCCTTGGTCTTGAAATTAATCCTTTACCTAAAATAAATTGATTTATAATGTTTGGCAATTACATTGCTAAATAGTCTGCTTTAATAATGTCTTTTTTCACTGATTTTTCATGACAGAAGTTCTTTACTCAATCAGTGTTCATACGGGAACATTGCCTGCATCAGGGACTGATGCAGATGTATTTATCACAGTATTTGGAGAACAGGGAGACTCCTGCAAAAGGAGACTAAGACAGTCGAATTTTGAAAGTGGACAGGTTAGTACTGAATTATTTTCCTTACATCTTTGCTTAATGTGTTTTATTTTATTACTTTCTTCCAACTCCATATTTCTTTTCAATTATCAAATATAATCATTGATGTTACACCATGGTAACCTGTGGAAAAGATGTGCTGCTTACAAAGTATAGACATTTTACCTGAATTGGGATCATGGTTTAGGAATAGTTCAAGTAAGAGTAAATTTAAAACAAACAAGCTATCAATAGCTGTTCCTAGAAACTGGAATTGAACCTAATGATACACGAAATTCCACGGCTTAATTTTCAGCTGTGAAGCTGGTATAGAAATATCAGTGCTATTTCCTGTGGCTGCTCCTTTAAAATCCATTTTTTAAAAAGATCTGTCTAGATACAGTTGAAAGATTTTAGATGTGTCCGTTTGTATATGTGAGTTAATCCATTTAAATAAAGAATTGCAAACAGGTAAAGCTGCTTTTAAACATGCTGTGACTGCTCAAGATAAATACTAGGAGAGATTTTCTGGTCAGCCTTTGGTAATTACCAAATTAATGTTTGTATCTACACAACACATTGGCACATCCCCTGTGCTCTGGACAGACATGAATAGGTAGGATTTAAAGAGACCTTTCAATTGCTCAATTGATCCTGTACAATAAAGTAGATCCTCTATACTTATTGCATACCATTTATTCAGATCTCTCATGGCTGACATGCCATAGTTTTCCTAGCAACCTGTCCCATGGCTTTCCTAGCCTGGCCATTAAACAGTTCTTCTATCATGATTTTTATATTGTCAAAATATTTTCTTGAGTTTAGAAACACAGAAAGTAGCCATTTCATCCTTTTGTTCCATAGTCATTGATACGTTCTCTTCCACGAATTTGGGTGAACTCTTTTTAAACATGTAATGAGCATCCACAGTCTCTTGCAGTAGTATGGACTGTACTTGGTCGGCAACCTCTGTAAAGCTTGCATATACTAATTTCATCTGCTTTCCCTGCTCTTACTGGAAGAAACAGTGAATGTTTTTTCCTTTTCTTTTCTGTTCTTGCTTTTATAGACCTCTGTTTTCAGTGCACTTCTTTTGTTGCTGGATTGTTCATTGTTCCTTGTCTAGAAAAACATCTCTTTAATCATTCTTCTTACACTTTCCTGTATCTTTTTCTGATTCTTCAGTAATACATTCTCAACCTCTTAAAAACTTTGCCATAACCTCCTCTGGTTCTCTTTTTAGTTCTTTGTCAGAGTTGTATTAGCTTAGCTCTAGCTACCATCTTCAGACAGCTGTTGCTCTAAATGGGCTGTGTGATATAGTATATAAAGTATTTAGATGCAGGGGACAGTTTCTAAGCTCAGTCACTGGTTTACCTGACGATCTGAATGTACCATTTTACCTTCCTGTGTTCTTCATTTCCCACCATAAGATGAAGATAACCTATAGTTTAGGCAAAAATAAAAAGAGCATATATATTTCAATTTAGTTTACTTCCCTTTTCATTTAATACTAAGGAAAATTAAATGCATCTTTTAAAAATATACTTAATCTCTCCTTTCCATGGCAATAGCATAGTGCTAAATTAATGATATTGTCCTAGTACCTAGTGAAATTACTATTCATTGGGAGATATATTATGAGCAAGGTGTCCCTGCCCATGGCAGGGGGGTTGGAACTTAATGATCTTAAGGTACTTTCCAACCCTAACTATTCTATGATTCTATGATTCTTTGAGGTGACCATAGTCTTCCCACTCAAAATATTTAGGCACACTTTTTGTAGAATCATAGCATGGTATGGGTTGAAAGGGACCTTAGAGATCACCTAGTTCCAACCCCTCTGCCACAATCAGGGACACCGTCCCCTAGACCAGGTTGCTCCCATCCAACCTGGCCTTGAACACTATCATGGATAGGGCAGCTACAACTTCTCTGGGAAACCCGTTCCAGGGTCTCACCACCCTCACAGTGAAGAATTTTTTCCTAATATCTAATCTAAATCTACCCTTTTCTTATAGTCTCTTTCAGATGTCATTTTTTGCAAAATCCTGCTGCCTTAGTTCAAACTGTGCTATTGGAGGAGGTTTGTGATGTTGATTGCCTGGATTATATTATTAAAAATTCAGGTTATTTCTTGGCATTTTTGAGGGCATATGTTTATAGGCAATTAGGAGAATTAATAAAAGACATACAGGTACATAGTCTGTGACATAACCTGGAAAAGAGTCTAAAAATAAATAATTTACATGGCAATTTCAAACTGGACCTCAATACAGAGTCAGAGCTCTCAGCGTTAAAGAAATCAGAGCCACTGTACTAAGCAATAGAGTGCTGAGTGTCTTTGCAAGCATACCTTTTTTTTTTCAGGTGAGCTATTTTTGTACTGCGGACAATGACAGTTTTCTTCAGCTTAGATATTTTATAGGTTTTTTTTTTTCATTGTGCAATATTTCCTGGGAAAGAGTTGTGCAGTGAAATGGCAAGATGTTCTGATGGCACTGAGTTATTTAAGGTAATAAATATGGAAGTTGTTGGCAGAGATTGCAGAGTGACTGGGTAATAAAACAGCAGATGAAATTCATTGTAGCTAAATGAAAAGCAGTGGCTACAAGGGGGAAACCCCTTGAATTTGCATTCAAAATGATGGCTGTGAAATAGGAAAGTTACCTTAACATTAGGATAGCTCTGTAATTATGTCAGTCCAGTACTCAGTAAAGGTAAAACAAAGGGAAAACAAAACAGATCTAGTATTTAGGAATTATTAGAAAAATGAAAAACCTAACCACCCCAAAGTAGAAAATACAGTTATGTGTCCAGGTAAGTTATCTGGTGTGAATGCATAGTAAATGCTGTGTTTTGTTCTGATTCCCTTGTCTTTAAAAGTGCAAGAGGAATCTCAAGTGATAAGAAATAACTTCCATACATAGAACAATTAGAAGTATATTTTTGGCCTGGAAAAGGCATGGTGAGAAGAGGGGAGAGGGATATAAGAAATATAAAATGGCATTGAGGAAATGAGAAATTCTATCTTCTCAAGAAATACAAGGGCTCAAGAGCATTAAATGAAACCTGCAGGTGGAAGATTCAAAACACAAGGAGGTGGCTTTTTACACAGTGCATAGTTAATACATTTTACTTTCTGGTACAAGATGTTGCAGACAGTAAAATGCATGTTGGTGCAAAAAGCCGTTGCACATTGTCATGGAAGACAACTTTCCACTGAGGGTTGTTAAGTGCAAAGACATTGTCCCTGGCTCAGGAAATCTCTGAACCACAAATTGCTAAAGTCTGAGAGACTTTATATTCAAGAAGCATCTCTATATATTTGCTCTGTTTTTCAACTCTTCCCTAGAAATCTGCTATTGGTAACTGTTGGCAACAGTATATTGGACTAGATCTGTGGCCTGACATGCTACTAGCAGTCTTAGGTTCTTTTTACATAGAAGTAGATTAATAAAAAAGTTGGAATGAGGTTTTAGTGAGAGTATCTAAGAATAGAAGGTGAAAGGAAGGGATGTAAAGGGCAAGCTGTCTTGAGAAGCAGGCTTATGCTAGCAATATCTCTGGAAAATATGGAATGGAGAGGCAAAGAAAACAAAGTTAAGGAAACCTGAGATCAAAAATAGGATCTCTCCTGACTCATAAAAGATTAGAATATAAGGAAAAGCTAGGAAGGCAGAAAATTGCAGAAAGTGTAAGTAAAGAGAGTCAAGTTTATATTTATTTAAGTAATTGTATGATTTTTTTTTTTACCAGTTTAATGGGTTAAATAAATGCAGATAAATAAATGCAGCATTGCTAACACTTGATCTAAAGACAGTATAACTGAAATCCTTTAGCTTTCATTAATTACACTTCCAGTAGTGTGTTTAATGCTGTTCTAAATGTCTTTCTACTGAGGGAAAAAAAAAATAATGTAATAACATCAACCAAAAGTACATTTTTGCTAATGCTGAGGGAGTAGGCAATTTAATGTATTATTATGAGAATTCCTTGATAACAATGGGTGATTATGACCACTGTTGTCTAATGACTGTTAATTATTATCACAAAGAATGAGACTAATGGTAGGTCCTTCTTTTCAGACAGAGTTAGCTGTGAAGGAATATGAATATTAGCAATACAGGCTATTTCCTCTAAGTCAAGGGTTATTTAGACTGACAAGAAAATTATATTTGGCTCAGAACTACAAAGAGTAAAATTAAAAAGCAACGAGTGCTCCCAAAAAGTTATTTACAAGATGTTCCTCACAGCTAGATCTTATTTTGGGCTACATATGCGTTACATGAAGGGGCATAACTTGCCATGGTAACTGTTTGGGGAGATTGTGGATATAACAAGGTAAGAATGCACGAAGACCTAAGGCTGTGATAAGAATAATAACTGATTTTTTTTTTCTTAGCACATTGTAGAGAACAGCCTGACACAGACAGAAGAATGGACCAGATGACATAATTCTTTCTAAAAATCATCTCTTCCTTTGTTACTTTCTGATCCTCATGCTTTTTCCTGACTGGTGGCAAATTGGTTGGCAACAAATAAAAATTATAGCGTCTGTTTCTACTATCCATCTGGGGTATTTTAATGTCACCCACACACATGCCCATGTATCTAGCCACCCACTCATATTATCTCTTGCACGGAACACATTCATTCTCTCACTCACATAATTTATTCATCCCAACATGCACTAGTGTAGTTGCCATTTAGCTTTTGTTTACTGGTAGCCGTAGCAATATTTAAACAGATGTCTATTTACATCCGAAGAGCACATCAATTCTTGCCTGTATGTGTGCACAGTGTTAGTTAGAGTTTCTAATGTCAGTATCTTCCTTTGTTTGTAGTCATCAACAATGTCAGTATTTCTGTTTAGAGTTGAATAGTATGAGGTTTTCCATTAGAAAAATAGTATAAAGACTTTGAGTTGTTTAAAAATATAATGGTTTACCCAAATCAAAGTTCTGTTTAAAAGGCCTATTCTGATTATTGAGGCACTTTCTGTTTCAGTTATGAGGGACTGGTTGAATTTCAATTTTGTTGAGATCACTGTAAGTAATTTAATGATCAGAGGTTTCTTTTGACCAAAAGTAGTGGGATGTTTTTCATAATAAAGCCTGGAATTCAATGGTCATGAACAAGGAAAAATGTACATATTCAAGGGTCCACGTATTTTCTGGGAGTCTCCAAATGTCAGATGATAATACCTTGTTTTACTTACTTCAGAAAGGAAAAGAAACTTCAGCATAGAAAGTAATATGTCTTTCCAAACATAATCTTCTTAAAGATGATAAAATATATAATTGAATCAGTTTACTGTTCATTTTACTTTTGCCTACTCAGGTTTGTATCTTTGAAATGAGAGCAGTAGACCTTGGACAGTTAAGCAAAGTGCTTGTTGAGCACCATGATGTGGGTTATGGAGCTGGATGGTACCTGGACCAAATTGTCATCCATGAATCAGGCAAGACTGGTGGCAAATATGCATTTCTTTGCCAGCAGTGGTTAGACAGTGGAGTTGGTGATGCACAGACGGAACGAATGTTGAAACTTCTTGGAAAAGTCGGGAATGGGAAGTTGACAGGGAAGATTTATGGTAAGGTCCAAAATCATCAAAGCCCCTTTCAGATTTTGTTTTAATTGTTTTGCTGTTTGTTTCTTGGGTTTTGTTTGTTGTTTTTTTTTTTTTTGTGTGTGTGTGTGTGTGTGTTACTTTTAAGACTAAAACCAAACCATAGAAATAATATAGCTTTAATGCAAATTCCATGTCTCACAAAATTTGCCTTTCCAAGCACTTTGCAGAGCTGGTAAATACAATTATAAAGTTCAGGGAAGAAAGATTAGAGAGGAAGGAAGATATTAAGTGATAGAAGCAGTGAAGGAACTGTGTTTTTAGTTGAGGCTAGAAAAAAGCTGAAGCAGAAAGAGGTAGGTTGTTCCATATGGCAGTCAATGCAGAGCAGAAGGCTGCTGCAACAGTGATGAAATCACAAGAAGAGATACAAAAACCCTTTCAGCAGAATGAGATTTTCCCGTATGTTCGCATGTTTGCAGAAAGCATTTGCTTTTATTTGCAGTTTTCTTTTTTTCTTGTATCAATGGCACAAGTTCTCGGAAACAGTTAGTTGACCTGTACAAAATATCCTATTCAAATTATCTAATAAAAAAAAGACCAAAATTCAGAAACAACAGAGACACTGAAAATATGGTAAGCCTTTTATGCTTTGCCAGGGTACTGGATTTTTTAGCTTCCTCATGTCTTTTTGAAGAGGTGTAAAGTGTTGTTTTGGGTCCATTTATGAAATCTGAATCAGAACTGGTAGACCAAACTATGTAAAGTTTGACTAATCTGAAGGTGTGAATTTGCATTCTATATCAGCAGTTTTGTAAATTGATCTTTTTTAATTTCTATGCTCATGGATATTTCACTGTATATTCAGAGAGTTTTATATGATATATAGCTGCAGAAACAGCTATAGTGTATATCTTCATATTTAGTTACCTGTACTTAGTCCACTAGTGAATATCTTATACCATCTAAGAAAATAAAAAAATAGTGTTGACAAGAGAAAGCCAGAATACTATGGAAGTAAAAGCATAGGATGAGCAGCTAGACTAGTGACAATTTTAGAAGAAAAAAATATCCTTTAGACTTAAGAGAAGATTGATGTAGCTGCTCTTAAATTGTGTCAGACAAATTTATCAATATATTTATCAGATTTACCATTATAGTTAACATGTTATAGCAGCGTTATGTTACTGTATGATCCAACAGAGATAGTCCTTCCATTCAGTCTTCCTAGGCAGCTATACACTGATAGTTTAAAGGCTTAATATTTAAAAAAAAAATAAAAAATCTATTGCACCACTGCAAGTATTTCAGGTCTCTAAAAAAATGGATTCCATAGGTGCCCTACATAACCCACAGAGCGAGGCAGGTGTCTCCTGAGGTTAATTCAGAGCAGAAGCCCAAGACTGGTCAGTCTGTTGTATCTTTCTTTGCTGATAATGTGAAAAGTGAGGGAAATCTCGCATCCTTGTTTATGCACCTTAATTAGTGTCTGAACATAGCTATGTAAAAACATTTTCCTTCCTCTGTTTTTCATATACACATAGTCCTCAAAAATCTGACTGCAGACTTGCTAATATTTTCCAGTCTATTATAATTAATTCTCAGCTCTGTATCTATTGAAAATCAGTTCTGCCTGGGTGTATAATATCTTTAGAAAGAACATGACAAGTGAGAGAGCCTGTAAGGAAAGGAGAAATAAAAGACTGATCAGCAAAGAGTACTGTACCTTAGAGGTCACAAAGTATACAGATACAATGGTACTTACTAAATGTCAAGCTGACTCTGATTTTATAATAGAATTAAAACAAATAGTAAAGGTTCTTCGACTGTCTACTTATAAAAAGAACCCTAAAGGACATGTAACTATGCAGGAACAATAGAGTTCAGACTGAGGTGATGAAGGTAAAATCCTAAACAAACAGAACACTTTATCTCTGTTTTCATTAAGGAACCATAATGTTGTAAATGAAAGAAAATAAAAAATTACTAATGGGAATGAGGTTACTGGAAATCACCAAATATGAACTGCAAATAAAATTTCATTTTTTATGCAGCCAAACACTGACAACCAAAGGAACCCCAGAATACTGAAGGAACTGGGGAAAAAAAAGTGACAGATCTAGTAGCAAGTATTTAAAACAATTTTATGAAGAAAAAAGGTGTGACTTGAAAATAGCATAGGTAATACTTCCACCTGAAAAATACAAAGCATAATGTAGGTGACTATAGATCTTACACTCTTTTCCTGCTCTGGCATCGGGTCTCTCCCATGGGAGACAGTCCTCCACAAACTTCTCCTTTCCATGGGCTGTAGTCCTTCATGAACTGCTCCAGCATGGGTCACAATTCCTGCAGCAAACCTGCTTCACTGTGAGTTCATCCCTCCATGGAGCCACAAGTCCTGCCAGGACCCTGCTCGAGTGTGAGCTTCCTACGGGGACACAGCCTCCTTCAGGCATACAAAACAAATACACTCCTTTAGACTTAACTAAAGAGAAGAAGATTAATGTAGCTGCTCTTAAATTGTGTCAGACAATTTATCAATATATTTATCAGATTTACCAATATAGTTTGCATGTTATAGCAGTGTATGGTACTGTATGATCTAACAGAGATAGTTCTTCCATTCAGTCTTCCTAGGCAGCTATACACTGATAGTTTAAGGCTTAATATTTCAGTACTAAAGGGCTAAAAAATCTTGGATTACACACAGGAGATATAAATTTTCATTTGACTTCCATTTTTTTGTGGGTGTAATTGGTTTCATTTGTATTTAATGTTCATAGACATGAAAATAGTAGCTATTTATGATTATTCATAAAGTCATAACACGAATTTAACTAAGATAATTTTAAAGATGGTGAGTACTAACTTTTTACATTCACCAAGTCCTGAATTTATGGCACAGATCCTCACCTGATCCAAAGTAATAAAGTTTTATTTGCACTAGTTTATAGTAGGAAACAAAGATTTGCCTGTTGTGGTTAAGAAGCTGGACTTTACAGGACTATAGATATAAACTCAGAAAGTCACTGTTTCCATTGCACAGAGTAAAATATCCTACTCTACAGAATGACGAGCTGAAATCATTTAATCCATACTTTGCCCCACTTTACATAAGCAGAGCTAAGTTATCTTAACAAAAAAATGGTCATGCTCAATTCTGCACCAGCCCAGGTGACCAAAACCTCTCTGTAGGAGTTATGATTTAAAAAATGTAATACATGGGTTCGATAGCCCTCATTTTTCCATACATTCTATCAACGTGAATTAAAACATGAAAGCTAGATAAATCAGTGGGATTTTGTTTTGATGAGTACAAGTTTCTGATCATGAAAACTGTCTTGCTCATTGGAGGTTTAATTAGATATCTGTCCAGTATAGAGATACAGAAGTCACTCAGAAGCTTACCTGGTATCAGTCTACAGTCCTTAGGAGCCTTCAGGTAACCGCCAATTCATCTAGAATGATTAAGAGACTAAGTGCCTCAGAACAGACCTTTAGTTTGAACACAAACTACTATTCTTTACATTCATTATATTCTTCAGTATAATTTTGCAGGTTTTGGTGTGGTTTGTTTTTTTTTTTAATTAAAATTGCTGGCTTTGGGTGTTTTCTGTGTCCCCAAAGTGGGAAAATTTATGTGCTGTTATATAAGACTGTTTTAAATCTCTCAGCAAACATCATTTCACAGAAGAAATAGATAATTGTGATGATCTGTGATAAAAATATTAGGTTTCAAGCACCAAACCAGTTTATCTCATCATCATCTTGCTATAGAATATATGGAGCATATTTTCCTATTCGACCTTAAGTAGCTTCTCAAAAAGTTAGAACAAAAAATACCCTGCCCTGACCAAAGGCAAACCTTATAACCAGTACTACCTAGTAGAAAATATGCTGCTTTTTAATGGTGTTTAGTAAGAAACAAAATTTAAATCAGCAGAGGAAACATTTATGATGGGAAAAAATCAGCCAATTGGCATGACTCTTCATAAATCTCTAATATGGAACTGGCAGTCTTATCTGCATAGTGCTATTGGAGCAGCCCATCTCTAAAGGGTCAGCTATCATTGCAGAAGGGCTGCTGTCCAAATCTGTTTCTCACTAATTCAGTGATAATGAGTGAACTTGTTAAGTGCAAATACTTTAGCTCAGTGCAAAGGTGGGGATGGGTTGCACTCACTAACTCAGCCTTTTACAAATTGCTGTATTATTTTGGATATTCAGCAAACCCATATTTTTTTTTTCTGCTGTTTTCTTTCAACAGGGACCTGGGATGTCTTTGTCACAACTAGTGATATTTTCTGTAGTTCCATGAATCCTAAAGTGTCTCTAAGTGTATGTGGTGGAAAAGGTGTCTGTACTTCAGTCATATTCCCCAAAGGATCCTTTAAAAATGGGCAGATTTATGAAACTTCAATTGAGCTAAATAAGAAATTTAATACTATATTCAAAGTTCGCTTAGGAATTGAAGATGCTGAAGAAGGAGAGAGTTGGTACTGCTGTGAGGTAAAAAGAAAAAAACCTGAAGAAATTACTTAGTGTCCTTATTATAAAATTCTCCTTTTTTCATATTCTATGGTTATTGCTTCCAGCTTCTAGCTCTGTCTGAAATTACATAATTTTTAATTTTTAAGAGAAAGTGCTCTAGTAACAACACTTGTATAGTGTGGAGACTGCTGAAACACTTACTAGACTAGCTATAGATAACAAAAATCCTGTAAACTTAGGTAGATTTCTGGAGGGCATATATACAGATGTGCTATCATCTATAGCATATCCAGTAGTGTCTTTTCAGAACTGTACCCACTGGCATATATTACAATATTTACATAACTCCAAACTGGCTGTTATATGTTGTGATCCAAGGCAAATAATTAAACCAGACACTAGAAATTCATTTTGATGAAAATGTCTGCCTTTTAAGTTGGCATGTGAAAAAAGGAAGTGAATAGCAGATATGACAATCTTTCTTCTGATGTCCAAGATGCTGAAGCTAAAACCTGACATTGCACTGATATTGCTGTGGCATTCCACTATACAAAAAATATCTCTATCCTCTTATGCTGACAAAATAAAGAGAAGTCTAAGGGAAATAATATTTTTCTTTCAAACTGCACTCACACTTCTGTCCATTAATGTTTGTATTTTGTTCTCATTAAAAATTGGAGGAAAAAATAATTTTTCTGCCCATTACCTAATAATATTGAGTGAAGCCCCCCAATATTTAAATGGTAGTTTGGTTTTTAATTTAATCTTCATAGGCAGATGAATTAGTCATCTAAAAAAATCTGTTGATAAAATACCTCTAGGATGTTGTAAGAGACAGTGGATCACAGTAAAAAATTCAGAACAGAAACTTCACTGCTGAAAGCAGTGACATCTATTAGGCTGTTTTACTTCATTAGCTCAGAACAATGACTCAAAGCTGAGTTAGAAAAAAAATCAACATCATTTCTATAAGTAAGGTAAAGATGCACATTTAATTATGTAGGATTAGAAAGAGAAATGTAAATTACTAGGGGTTTAGGAAGCTATTTCCTTTGTTATTCCACAAATTCCGTAGCAGGACTGACTGGATCCTTATATGAAATAACTAGGTTAGTATAAGAGGTTGTGGATAATATCAGTTATTAAAGACAAGTCAGCAGTTTGTTTTCACTGCTGATTAGAACCACAATGGTAATTTCTATGCTATTTTATTTTGATCTTACAAGATTGCAACTCACAAAGATTTCCCCCTTCTATCATAAGTAAATGCGGGTGCAGCTGGTTGAATTCCATATTTAAATTCAGAATTCACTTTTATAACCAAACCCACAAAATAACTGTCTTAATGTTCTTGAGAAAATTGAAGTAATAATAAAATAATGTCCAGAAAAAAAAATAATTAAGATATGGTTTATTTCTGAAGCATGTAATAACTAACATTTTTATTCTTGCTTCTTTCACTTCTTGAAAAATAAAGTACAGTAAATGAAATCTGATTTTCAAGGAACTGTTCAGGACCGTGGATGCTAGTATGAAAGGGAAACTGTATTAACATTACACTTTATACTGCATTAAAAAAAAAAAGCCAAAAAACCTTTTCAATTTGTCTCTCATAATGAAAAATAATTGGAGTGTTTTGAAGACAAAATAATGCCACTATCTCCCAATGACACTTGCTAAACAAAGATAGTTGAGCTTACTGGGTTATGGATTTGGTCATTTTAGGGAGTTAGGTAATGAAAAATGCATGAGTGTATTCTCTGTACCCTTTTCAAATCAGGGTTACTTCCTGTAACATATTCTCAAACACAGTGTCTAGTCTAGGTTTAAATAGTTCAGAAAATATGTTGTCTATTAGTATAGCCAGTAGTATCATAGTGTAAGACACTTTATTATTGAAATTTCTTTTCTTGTAATACGACTAAGCTACTTAGTATCACCCTTTTATTACTTTACATACAGCTTTTCATAGATTAAAAATATTGAATAACACTCTATATATCCATACAATACACATGTACAGATATATACAGATGCCATAAACCATTCTAAATTTCTGTTTTCCAGTTTTTCCCAGAAACAATTCATTCTCTTTCTCCCATTACTTAGAATGAGAAAACATTCTGCACTGAAAAATGTTATGGCATATTGACATTTCTCACAAGCTCAAATGGTCGTATTGACACTTCTTTTTCTTCCATATGCTAGATGAATAAGTTACATAAAAGAACCTTTTTAAACATTCCAAATATTTTTCCTCTTATTGCAGTCTCTACAGCAATACTGTTGACAGCATTTTAATTATTTTTAATTGGGAAAGATATTTTTTCCTTCTCTTTTAAAAGTCTGCTTGCAAAAACATTTTTAAAAACTTTATTTTCTCCTTTAATATTGAGATGATGCATCATATCTGTTTAGTAGTATGACTGTTGCTACAGTTTCCATTAGAGCACAACAGATGCTGAAGGTATTTCTTTTTTGCTCTTTGCTAAGGTAAAGCTTCAACACAGAGAAAGTAAAAATGTTCTCGAATTTCCATTTTGTCGCAACTTTTCAGATGAAGAAGGAGGAAGAGTGGCTGAGCTTCCAGTTCTCACAGTTGGCTCTCCTTTTCCAGCAGGTTTGTCAAAAATCAGAAACACGACAAAAAATATGGTCAGTAACAATGCCTGATTCACAGAGCAGTCCAAAGGATTTAACAGATATTTTCTATTCATTTTAGCTAGTGATGCACGGCTAGGTCCAAACCCCTCCAGTGTTTAAAAAAGAGTATCTCAGACCCTGTAACTGAGCATCGTCCATTCAAGTCTGATTGGTATCAGTTTGTGACACATAAAAGAGCAAGCATACAGCACTGAAAATATTAAAAAAGTTTTGAACAGTACTCAGAGTTCAGCTTCTTCTCAATAATATGATTTGGCTCTTTCCCAGAGGAAACAAAGGAAATCCAAAGGAAATAACTCTCACAGTGTAATTTCAGATAAGAAGGAGATCCATTGCCCCTCACAACAGAAGGTCATCTGTTTGTGTTCCTGTAATTTCAGGCATTTTTCTTCTGTGACCTAGCAGTTAAATGTCATCAAATTCCTTCATGCAAGTTATGCCTTCACCACCTCAAGACTGGATTCTTTTAGTTTGCTCTATGTTTCTTACTGAGTTTTATAACCAAAGTTAGTGATGAATGGAAGAGCTGTTATCCTAAATGGATATTCTGCTGTAAGAATACCATGGTCTCCTCCAAGTGTTTCCCATGAGTTACGGGTTTAGATCAATAGCCCAACTAATCTGTGTATTCCTCGCCTTTTCTGCTGTGCTTTCAAAGCTATTCTCAAAAAAATGCACTTGAGCAGAAGCTCCCTGAATACAAATTTGAGAAGAGTAATGCTGGGGTATTCCCTGGGAAGACTTTGTCTTTTAATTTTTTTTGTTTCTTTTTTTCTGGAAGAACACAGGTATTTAAATATTTACAAATGCTGCTCCTCTGAAAAAGGAGCATTTAACATGAGGACAGATGATGTTTTCTTTATTTTCTCCTGGTATTTTTCCCTCTTTTTCAATTGAATACTTTGGGGATGTGGCTTCTTTCTCATTCTGGGGGACCAGATCACCAGTGTGTTATGCATTTCTCTAGGAGTACAAACAGGTACTTAATACAAACAGTCAACCAAGAAATGCTCAGCTGAAGAGTCGTAAGATGACACATCAGAGAACACACAGCATTTCTGGAAATCCTCTGCTGAGGCCGGTAACTGAAACTGTACAGTGTAGAGTGGCCAGCCACTGACTGGATCATAATCTGGAGGAAGTACAAAAGTTGCTGTCTTTGTGACAGGGCTCAGCTTCATTTGAACTCCATGAGGCTCAGAGCAGAGATGTGCTTTCTGAGTAATTGAGTATCATCCATCCCCCAGGAAAAGTTTCATAGGACTGTTTGTTACATATTTAAATGTATACAACTGTGTGGTTGAGTATTATTTACATGCTTTTATAACAATTTGTGATGTGTTTCTTGTTCTTTCATTTTCTCTTCTGCCTGTGTTTCAGGCCCACTCACAAACTATTTAGCTTATTATTCCTTACAATAGTGGCTCTTAGGTTTTAATTACAATGCTTCTATGTGCTTTTCTAAGCATTATAATATAGTTTGGCCCTTTGGTCGCAGTGGGAAGGAATAAAAATTAAAATATAATAGTAATAATTTATTAAATAACACATTTTTTAACTGATTAAGCTTTGGTAAACTTTTGATCTCTTTTTCCCAACAGTGAAAACCTATGTTCTCTATATCACTACGGGAGCATCCCATGGGTCAGGCACTGATGCTGATGTGTATATCATGCTGCAAGGCCTTTTGGGAGATACTGGCAGAAGAAAGTTCATCAGGAAAGGAGATGATAATTTTACTAAAGGAAAGGTACACTTACAATTTATGAATGATATTTTGCACATTTAGAACCCACTCCAATTCACATGGACATAATGGCAGTAGGACAGACTCTACAAAGCCCAGTTTGTGATGCTCTGTGATTTTAAGTATATCAATATCTCTATTTTATGTGGGAAATACTGGTGCTTATATAGCTGATGTTAACAATACTGACAATAAAGTGTGCTTTTAGGTTCAATTTTGCAAATATTGGTAGTCTTCAGTGGCATGCCAGTGTTTTTGCTGTGTATTTGCTTCACAATAGAGCTAAAAAGAGACTCAATTCCCTTTAATAATTCTTTTCTTCCCGTTCTTCAGGCTAAGGCTCCTTTCCCTGGCTATTGCCTTTCCACTCCCAGTCTACCCCAATCTGGCTTTTGGTCTCCCTCCAGACAGTCAGCTGCTACCCTTTATAGTTTTCTTAGGGCTACCAAGATGGTTATTCCCTCACTGGGCAGGTGTGAGTCTTGCAGCTCATAGACCAGGGAAAGAGCAGCACAGCTGCCAGAGATGCATTTGCCTGTAACATGGTTACTATCCACTGAAATTAGAGGGAATTTAGTGTCTGAATGTGCTGTAGAAATGTGAGACAGATTTTCAGCAAGATGTATGTATTTGACAAAAACCCTAATCCTTGTTGGAAGCTCTGGACAGGAGTGAAATTTTCAGCTAAAAAGGTCTCAGGATGTTTTAAACATGGAAAAAAAAAAGTATTTTCTGTGGATCTTCAAAAACAAATTTGAGGATTAAAACAATTCAAGATTCTGAAAAAGAATCTGTTACAGAATATTGGAGTTGGGAATTCTGAGTTAAAGTTTAGAAGAAACACCAGTGTCTTGCAACCAGAAACACTGATCATATTTTATGTTAGAATGTCCTACCTGCCTTTCTTATAGTGTGTGTACTCTTCTACCTTCTGAAAACTCAGTGAATACTGTGAATACAGTATTCTACCCTGTTCCCCTTTTGGAAATACCAATTAGTAAATTATTTCCTTCTGCTGGCGTTGTCTCACAGATGAATGAGAATTTCTCTACAGAAGCAAGCTTGCAAATCAGCTTAGATTGATAACCAAAGTAGACGCGTGATATGTAGGATTAGGAGCTCAGCTCCTAACTACCTCCAGCTTCATTAATTCAGTGGGAGTTGAAGAGGGTCATTATCTTACTGGATTTTGCCTACTTGAAATGCTTATTCATAAGAAAGGGGCGAGAGTTTAAACCTTTAAGGGACAAAATACTTGTGTATGAGGATACTCAGTTTGGACAAAGGCACATTTGTTTTCCCTAATGTTGTAATTCATGTTGTGGCTTATTCATAACTGTTTTAATTGAATTTTAGAGCTGCAGTTCTTTTGTCCTTATGAAGCAAAGTTAGTTCAATATAAATTTTACTGGATTTCCCCTTAAATCAGAATTCCACAAGTGAACAATCTGATTTCCAGACTGGTAGTTTTTAATGAAGAGGGACCAGAAATGCATAAACACAAATGTTGCTGAAGAGAACAGAAATGAACTAGAAAGATTCATAACCTGAAAGGCATTTTTATAGTATTTATTTTTACTTTAGTGTGGCACAGAATTATTCTGTTTTACAGAGTAAGAGGCAGAACTAGCATGTACCTATCTCTTCATTACTTGACATTTTATAGGATTAGTGTGCGAATGTAACACAGTATCCCTGTATTTCTGAAAATAGATATCAGCATAGGAATATTTTAGGGCGCTAAAAAGAAATAGCTTGTAGATAAGTAATAGAGAAACAAAGAAAAGTATTGATTTTCTCCTTGTTCAGTGAAAATAAAGTAATCTGGTTAATTGATAAAGCGTAAATTGATTCTGCGAGCAAGACTCCTGTGTTTGCAGCAACATTTTGCTCATGACATGTTTTGGAAATTTCCCAATGTTTTCTTTTCTTTACTTGTATTCTCCAAAAAGACTCTCAAGTGTAGAGCATCTCTTTCTATACCAACCCAATCACATATTGTGCCAAGCACTCCTGCAGTCAGAGAGTCTGGACTTGGTGGTTTAGGGGATTTTGGAGTGTAACAGACAGAATCTGCTTTCTGAATCTTAACAGTTGTTCTGACATTTTAAAATGTGCTTTTCCTTGCAATAATTTTTCCCCTGACTATACAGTAACAGCTAGTGAACTGGAACAGTGTTTCTGTTAGAAATCACATCAAAATATGCTGTTAATCTCACAGAATGTCAGGGCTGCCACAAGCAACAGTTTAGCAATGCAGAAATACATAAAAACTTTTAAATATTCAGGGGAATTTGCAGTGGATTGGATATATGCTTCTTTCCTTTAACAGATCTTTTATTTACATGAGCTGAGTTACATGATAATAAAAGACTGAATTAACTTATATCTGAAAGGTTGTTTTGTGTCTTTCCAAAGTCCTTACACCTGTGAAACCATCAGAGAACTGACAGATCATAAAATCATGGAATGGTTCAGGTTGGAAGGGACATTAAAGCTCATCTGATTCCAACCCCCCTGCCATGGGTGGGGACACCTTCGCTAGACTGGGTTTCTCAAAGTCCCATCCAACATGGCCTTAAGCACTGCCAGGGCTGGGGCAGGCACAGCTTCTCTGGGCAACCTATGCCAGTGCCTCGCCACCCTCACAGTGAAGAATTTTTTCCTTAATTAAAATTGGATTTAATCTAAATCCACCCTGTTTCAGTTTGAAGCCATTCCACCTTGTCCTGTCACTACAGGCCCTTGTAAAAAGTCTCTATCCAGATTTCTTGTCAGCCCCTTAAAGTACTGGAAGGCTGCTCTAAGGTCTCCCCAGACCCTTTTCTCCAGGCTGAACAAAGTAATGAATAAGTGATAAAGTGATGTGCATGATATTATTAATTCACTGGTAAGTTCCCTGTAGCTCACCCTATGTCTGAGAGAGCAGCTGAGCTTCTGATGATCTATTCAGACAAACGAGCGTGAGAACTAGTGCTGCAAGAACTTTATTCCTTAAAATTACTATGACACTGATGCCTTGTTTGATGTTCTTCTAAGACTGTGAGGGTAGACAAAGCAATCTTGGTGCACTTCTTGCAGTTCAGCTTTCATGAAATCCTAATAGTATTTATTCATACTTCATGAGTCACTTTAGGGCTGATAAATGTTACCTGCTACAAACACTTTCTTGAACAAAGTATACTCAGTGCAGACATTCTGGAAATAACAGGGCCGGTTTTTGTGAAATCCATACAATACCTCCATATTGCTTCTGGCACCCAACATTTTTCAGCACATAAAATTCTTCATGCTTCTTTATATGGTCTTTTATAGACTTGCTGTGTACTCTGTCATATGGCTGTGAGTTACCCACAGATTGCCTCTTCGAGAACGGCTTTTTTTCAGATCAATTTGATCAAAGCCAGTAAACTACAACTGAATATGTTATGACTGATATTTAAGTATTTTAATCTTGGTATGATGAGAGCAGACAGTATTTAAAGTCTTCTGAGTTACTGAAGCAGTAAAATCTCTGTGAATATTTACTTCATTCTATTAGTTGTCGAAAAGATATATTCTTTATCCTGCCCTATATTTAGACATCAACTGCTCAGGTTGGTACCATGGTAACTGCAGCACATACAAAAATTGTCAGTGGAAGGTGACTGTTGGTGTTCCGTTTCAGTACTCACATATTATGCATTGGCAATTTAAAAAAATTACCATGTGTTCCAGAATATGTTAAGGGTCAGAATGTGGGACAGTGTACTGTGAGACAGTGTACTGTGAGACAGTGCCCTGTGAGACAGTGTCCTGTGGCCACTAGCAGGAACTCAATATTTGTATGCAGTGTCCACATCCCATCCAATCTAGAATGTTAATGTTTTGTGACTGCAGAAAAAACTTATCATATGGAAAGCCTACCTGACATGATTAAATAATTGCAAAATGCCATCGATCTAATCATAGGAGTATGCTGTTGGCCAAGTTATTGTAGTATAGACATGAACACTAAAATGGTCTGTCATCATAGGATCATAGAATCATTTAGCCTGGAAAAGACCTTTAAGGTCATCAAGTACAACTGTTAACCTAGCACCGCCAAGATCAACACAAACTATGGCCTTACATGTCTTTTAAATGCCTCCAGGGATGGGGATTCCACCACTTATTTGGGCAGCCTGTTCCAATGCTTGACAACCCTTTTGGTGAAGATTTTTTTTCCCAGTATCAGCTCTAAACTTCCCCGGGTACAACTTGAGGACATTTCCTCTGTCCTAATGCTTGTTACCTGGGAGAAGTCACTGACCCCCACCTCACTACAACCTCCTTTCAGGCACTTTAGAAAGTGATAAGGTCTCCCCTGAGGCTCCTTTTCTCCAGGCTGAACAACCCCAGTTCTCTCAGCAGCTTCTCATTAGAGGTGTTGTCTGAAAACTTCCTAAGGGTGCACACAACCCCCTAATCCACATCATCTGTAAAAATAATAAATAAATTGAAAAAAGTAATTGATAAAAATATTAAACAGAACTGACCCAAAATTCCCTGGGGAGCACCACTTGTGGTCAGCTGCCCAATGGATTTAACTCCACTACTCTTTGGACTTAGCTACCCAGCTAGGTTTTTACCAAGAATCAAAAACTCTATCATTTCATGATCAATATGGTGAAGGCAGCCTCCAACCATCACAACACCCACAAGTCCTTCACTGTTCACAAACAACAGGACCAGTGGGGCGCCTTCCTCATTTGGCTCCTTCACCAGCAGTGTCAGGAAGTTATCTTCCACATGCTTCAGGAACCTCCTGGACTGTTTCCTCTCTGCTGTATTGTACTTCCATTGGACATCTGGTAAGATAAGTCCCTATGAGAACAATGGCTAGCAATTGTGAGACTTCTCTCATCTGCTTATAGAATATTTCATCTGCATCTTCATTCTGGTTGGGTGCGCTATATCAGACTATCACCATGATATCTGCTTTGTTGTCTTGCTCCCTAATTCTTACCCATAAACACTCAACC